CTTATAATTAATCCCAGCACCACTCCATTAAGATTCAGTCAAAGCTACAACAATCAGTTTGTGAGACGAACTACGCGGAAGCTCACTGAAAAGCAGTAACTTTTACCTGACATCGAAGAAGAGATCACAAATAAATCGATTTGGCTTACACTAGGTCGTAATGAACGATTTTGTATATTGGAGTTCTTGACTCTTTATCATCAGCACTGATAGTGAGGACAAAATATGTGTAGTCATTTTAAATCTTACAGCTACAATGCCTCAGAGGATACAACAGGAAGATTTGAAGGCTAAGAAAGGAAAGTTGCCATATTGAATACTAATTCTCACACCCAGTCAAACTGTCTGGACTGGAATCCCAGAATTCCCAGCCAGCAATTTTTTTGGGGCAGACCTAGGGCGCATTGCAGACTTTTTGGGGCAGTCTTCGGGGCGAATACTCAAGAACGGCAATGCGCCCAAAGTCTTTTGCCCCGAAGAAATGCTAGCTGGGTTAGGGGTGTCTGCAGCCTCCTATCAGCTATTTTAATTGTTTATAAAAGCACAGAAACTTGTAAGAAAGCCTTTGACATAGGAATCAAGCCTTCTAGCCTCAACTAACGTATCTGAACCAGAATCGATGTGTTTTCTTAAAATGCATCAAATGTATTTATGAAGGTCGATGATACTCAGTGTATATCTTTGAGTATGGGAAGAAGGTATCGTGGTTTTTACTCCTATCATAGGCATTAATTGTTATCTGAGTTTTCTCCGAATTGAAAACACTTGTTAAGCTTCAATCTTCCTAAATTTTTGTGTCTGTGTTTCAACTTTTAGTTAAATAAATACCCTAAGTATCGCACACTGTCTACTTGTAAAATGCGTTGAATCAACATTGTACTGAACAACACGTGAGAATTGTGATTCGGAAAAGTAGAGCGAATTTTATATACGATAGTACCAATCTACTGTTAAACAGACCCTGATATTGTGACAGTGAGTAACTAAACAAATAATGAGTGATTCATGTTTTCAAATACTGTTCATTTTGGGATTCATCCATCTTTTTGCTATTTTGCGCACCACCTAGAAGCAGTTTGGAAGCAGTATCACTTTAGCACTGGTTTTACAGTTCATCATTAACTGTCGAACATTCGCGTGGCTTGTGTTTGAATTATACTGTACCTACAAAATATCCCAGATATTTCTGAGTGACAATTAAACACAGTCGAAGACAAGAATCCTTTAGTCATTTGAAAGGAATGGGTTCTCTTGCGAATTCGTGGACTCGTTGAAGTGAACCGAGTAAGCACGGCAACTAAAGGATGCTTTATTTTGGTATTGAAATAAAGTTATAGGTGGAAAAATGTAGTTTAATAGTTGGAAAAATCGCCGCGGTTACTTTCCAAGAATAATTTTACTATGTCTAAAGGAGCCATTCGACGTTACAACTAGAGTTTCAGGTTGTTTGCAGATAGTTAACATACATGTCGTGAATTAAATTTCTGTCGAGCCTTTCATGTTTTAATTATTGATTCAGGTTATCGTTTATCGCTCAAAAGCGGACATCTTGGCATAGTTGACTGGCGTGTATTTCACAGTAAAAAATAGGATATACTTCGTAGCTGCATATCACAAGTATTTATCTTCATCTTGTTGTTTCACACTAGCAGTATTTCTCAGGCAGCTTCTTCACTTTTTCTAAACTAAACGACTCTGCCAGCAACTGAAACACCTCATCTACAGTATTTTGACTTCATCTTTCCTACATCATGCTGAAATTTTCAACGTCTGAACCGTATGCTAAAGCTGAAAACAGGTCTAACCAACTCAGCATCGAGCATCCCGGCTCTAGATATATGTTTTGTTCCTGAGCTACACTTACATGTTTTATTATTCATTTATCTTTAGCTGGACAACATAGTAATTCTACAAGACTCTTCCTATTAGCTAAGGAGATCCTCTGATTTGTTCTCACATCCATCCTAATGACAGGATAGTATTAGTTATAACCTTACTGTTCGGCTAGATAGTCTTTTGTTTTATGTCAGGCAAAGTGAGAAGGTAGGAGGAGGGAAGATCTTGATACCTGGGTGACTGCTGTTACTCACCTATGGCTTGTAGACTAAACGTTTTCATAGACACGACAAGTAGTGGATGACGAAGGAATAGAAGGAAGCGGAGAGCATTTCAACAACATGTAGGACCCGTTAATTATTTAGTCTCATTTGAGATACAGGTAGTAAAAACCTATGGTAGGCTAAATGATATGCGGGATAGACAACATTTCATTAACTTCTCAGGAAGGATGGCTGGAACATTGGGTAAAAAACCAAAGAAAGCTTCAAAGGTTCTGAATCTTCCTATCATTCTTCCTTAAACCGATCAGGGTACAGGCTCTGGTCTTCAAATTCTGGCCAAGGCTTTGTAAGCTTTCTATAAACCATAACAGTTTTAAATGACCAGGAAATGCTTTGACTCCAAAGGCGATTAAGAATGGTATTGATAAATTACTTATAAGGTTGACTTAATCCTTATTCTACCAGGCTGGTGTTTATCGCTGATCATTTAAGTTTGTACGAAAGAAAATTAATGTTCCTGTGATATACACAGGGAAAAGGATAGGCTAACATATGCCGTTTTCAAAGTCCCACTGATCCTAGTCATGTGAAGAGTAAGCGGAGCTCAATAGAAACAAACTCCAGAGTATAAGACAAGCTTCTTGCCAGAACGAAGGTGTATTAATCATATTTTCGCTTCTGAGAAGTTTCTGGAGGTCTGTGATGTTTGTCAACATCCGACACTTGTCATACTTCTTGCCATAAATGTGGCTTTTGACTCCGCCAATCAACAGTAACACCATTTATCTATGAAGAGAATGCTGACGAATTATATCGTATTAATAAAAGCACAGTACTCCAACTAGTGCAGCATTGTTACAGCTTGTGAAGATTTTTAGTTTGAAGCAATGATGTCCTGTGATATGATTCTGTTCAGACCTGATGTCTTAGAGGTCTACTTGTCGTCAGGAAAATGTATCGCAGACAATTCATTTCATTTAAGTGAACATTCAGTCTTTCGAATACCATAATCTGCTTATGTCTGACGTGAAATTTGTCCCTGTTGATTAGACTGTACTTCAGTGCTAGTTTGCATAGACCTATAGGTTAAGAGTATATAGTGAAGCAGGTGAAGGTGTTGATCACTTCTTTATTTTGGAATTTGCATCTGCCCTAATGGACGGATTGCTAACAGAATCTCAACAAGGATAAAAAGCATTCTTTTGACACTTTGCAACTTGCCTAAAGGTTCAGTTGTCCATCAGAGGAGATGTGTACTTTGCAGCATTTCGCACTGTCGTATCTTATAGCTGTGACAAATATTCTCCGAAGTTGGCAAACTTGCAAAGACTGGCAGTTTTTGATAGTATGCTCTGTTCAGTCTCTTTTTACTCATATCGGTATAGTTAGACAGCTAGGTTAGGTGTAGAGGAAAAGTCAACCAATGAGGTAGTGAAGGCCCATTGATTGAGATGGTTGGCACATGTACTACTCGTGCCCATCCATCTCAACCAATAATGTTAGCTTGAATAATATTGCAAAAAGCATGGTAGCAGCTCATGGGCACTTCTGTTGCTGGTTTAAACAGTACAGGGATATGTAGACTGCTTGTCTTGAGTCTCTGCGATATTAAGAATAGACAGTTGTAGGTTGTTGTTGAAACGGCCCGAAATTTTCCACATTGTTGTGGGTGTATTCATCTCTTGTTATCATCCAGATTCTGTAACATCGTGTTAGTCTTTGCCTAATTATTCTCTCTTCCGTACGTCCCTATCACTGCCGTTTCACTGCATCTTTCCTCTCCAATTTTACATCCTTTATCAAAGTGTAACAACTTGAATCGATTCATTTTTGTTCACAAATTTGCCTAGTTAAGTAGGTCAGTCAGTCACTGCTTTAAAAAGCAACCATGTGTTTTTTTCAATACCAACATGAGTGTCAGTTTATAATAGAAAAATTTGCATCGAGGAGTAATATAATTTCATGGACAAATCAGTCTTATTCTGAAAACCAATTAAAGTAGGCTCCACTCTCTTTTGCAGATGCATATTTACTTTTACATAGAATAGTGTATTTATCCAGCATATTTAGAGAGTTACTGAAAATCTGGATAAATAAGTTGAATATCCTTTATTAAATGAATCCAAGGTGAAGTGTAATAGAAACCTCATTGAATTTTCAGAATCTTTATGATCAGTTCCCGTCTTTCATCAAACCTATCTTTTTTCATATAGTTAACAGTTATCGTCTTTGACAAGACGCTCAGTCAAATAGTGCTTGTAACTGTGCTGCTTCGCAGACCGGGAATGTACAAAATTGCGATCAAACAGCTACAGAGGACCAAGCTGATGAAACGATATCTTTCTTGGGCTTATTTCCTCTCACTAGGGAGTGATTTTAAACGTTTGACTATTAGTAACTATCGTATACTTTTCTGGTTATTCTTTGAATTTTTCGTCTACAGGTGTCCGACCTGTTTTTCTGGAATGTGAGTCACGCAAGGAAGGCATATCTGTTGATATAATCAAAATTTGTTATCAAACCATAGGCGACACCTATAAAATATAAAGCTGTCATTCTTATAAAAACTAATTTAACTTAATAAGACATTGCAGCTGATTCGGCATGTAGACAACCCTTTGCACTATTTACCTAACCTATCAACTGCAAGGATTTAGGTTATGTTTCACCATAAACATATTGTTGAATCCGTTCAAAGTGTATATCTCTTTAAGAATATTGGGTAAATGTTTGCCTGTGCAATTTTATTGATGATCTTTTTTATTTTCTTCCACATCTAGCTTTTTTATGTTCATTAACTGTAGTACTTTCGATTGTTGAAAAGAAAAAGAAAAATGTTTCAGTAGCTGAGGTTACCAGTAAAGGTGAACATGCCGCTTACAATCAAAATTTGACTATACTGAAGTGGAATATTTATTATACTCCGCCCCAAAAGGAAACATGAACAGATTTCAAAAATTCTTAATAATTTTCGGTGGATTCATCTCATATATGTTAGCTGATGGATATACTTACTCTATGGGTGTATTATACTCAGAGTTAATGAATACCTTCCAGCTCAGCAGTGCTGAGACGGCTATTCTACCAGGTATGATATTTGCAGTGCCACAGTTTTTCGCACCTTTCCTATGCCCATTATTGGATACATATGGATTTTCATCTGGTTCTGCATGGGGTGCTGTTCTCATGTGTGCTGGATGTTTTAGTAAGTTAAGCATATGTATGCATAGAAGTTAACGTCATTCATTATCTTAGTATCATCATTTGTGAACAACTTTCATACTTTGTACCTCACTCTGGGTATAATGACCAGTATTGGACTTCAATTGACATATTTGTCTGCACTAATGTCTGTCACAGCTCAGTTTGAAAAGAGTTCATTGTAAGTTGAAATCTATTTACTTCCCTATAATGTATACCATTTTGCATGTGTGTGTATGTGAACAAAAATAACTAGGGCAGTAGTTGTGCTATACACGTGAGGCTAGAAGAACATGTATGCAAGTGGCTTGACACATGATCTCAGATTCCAGAATCTCAGTAAACGCTGACGATAGACTGTCAACTTCGTTTGTAGCAAAGCATATTTTTGATTTTTTTTCCTTCACGTTCCCCAGTGGAACATAGGGCTTCAAGCTAGTGGCTTGAAGTTTCTGTACAGTGTTTATTTTACAGGATGGGGTTGCTAGCCTCATGCCCAACCTTTCTTCTTCACCAGCATTATTTCTGGCTTAGCGAGGTAAAGGAGTGCATCGGCCTGGGATCGAACCCGGACCATGTGCATGGTCGGCGAGCGTCCTAACCGCTATGCCACCGACGCACATATTTTTGATATGAATCACAATAAATGTCAAAACCGCTTTCAAGATTATATAGAATAAATAGACAGGGCCACACATTAAAATATGTAAAGGCGGTAGCTACTCAAAAAACTAAGCTCCCCCTTGTTTATGCGAAAACAATTTATTGTTACATTTAGTCTACCTCGGTGATCCTTATCAAATTATATTTATATTAATTTAATATATTTAATATATTAATTAGTTTATATTAATTTATTAATTTATATTTATCAATTTATATTATATTAATTGTTATCCTGCCTATTCTTGAATCTCCTATCATCTCAGACTGTTTGAGGTGATCTTGAATTGGCGAAGTGTTATCGGTAGTACACATCGTAATTGAAGAATGATGATAGACAGACAGTAAGGCACCATTCATTTACATGACAGATGGGTATTGCCCCTGATGATTTCAGTCATATGGTGACCTGGTCGGCAGCTGAGTGTCGTAGCTCAGCTGTTAATTGAAAGGCCACTGATCCAAATCCTGTTGCGACCTAGATTTCCATTTCACCTTTAATTATCACCCATTACATCTGCTGTCATTTTGTTTATTTTACTTAACATTTCATTTCCATATGAATTCGAAAATGACAATTAGATGCGTGATCAGATATTCCACATTTTCAGCTAAATTCCGTCTTTTAGTAACGGTATCCAAATTTATTGAAGAGACTAATTGTTGTAAGGTTTTTTAAAAGAATCCTAGTCTCTGTTTAAATGCTTAAAGTCAAACCTTATGTTTGAACTATGAGAAGTGCATATGCTTGTCAGTTGTATTCTGTTAAGTTGGTTAAGTCTCAATTGATTATATATACTTCAATGATTGATTGTTTGCTTCCTTAATCTAGTGTAAATGAAGCTGCATGTAAAGAATATCTTTAGTTTCACTGTATTCAAGTCTCATGATAAAAAGCCATTATTGATCACAGTGTATGCATGTTCATTCAATATGTTCAGGCAGCACAAAGCTCATCCTAGACTACACCTTTGATTATTACCAAACGAATAGCTACTTAATTTGTGAGTTATATGTTTCCCCACAGTCACTGGTGGGATATGTGCGCTAGAATTTAACTGAATACAATTTTTGCATTTATCTCTTCAGTTTATTACACTCAGCTGATATTAGCAGGGGAACAGAGCAGTAGCATCCAACATCCTGTTATTCAAATAGGAGAGGGGTAATCCTTAAAGTAGTGTCCGATTTGTCGGGGTGAGGGAAATGGATTGGACATATGCTGAGAAGACTGTTAAGTGACATTACGCTTCAGGCCCTGAGGTCGAACCCGAATGGGAAACGACTAGAAGGGTTTTTAAGGATGATTTGGAGAAGATCGTGGTGTCAGGAGGAAATAAAATCTTATAGGTAATCGTGCAGCTAGCTAAAAAGGACTGCAGAGAACAGCGTGAAATGGTGATGTGTTGCTGAAACCCTATGTTCCACTAGGAACCTAAATCACTGAAGACAGAAACTGGTCCACAGAATGGAAGGTAGACAAACAAACTAACGAACACGAAAGTCGAAACTGCAAGAGACGAGTTGTCACACTTCCCAGATGTACGCATATATTGTAAAAAACCGTTAAGAAGATAAAGGAGTTAAAATGGGCATTGTGGGAGGGACAGAGACGGAGAGTGAGAGCCAACAAGCTGTCCAACATTTTGAAAATGATATGGAATGAATACTTTTATTTAGGTGTGGTTGAATGTAAGCTGTGCGACATACGAAATTTTCAAGGGTAGGTTTTGAGGGATTTAGCTGATTTCAACTTTAATCACAAACTGACTTAATTTAAAGAACTGCTGATAAGCAGGGAGAACTGGACAGCTATTTTGCCCTAGTTTGGGATGCTTGAGTAGTACACGCCCACGACCCCACCGGGGTCGAAACGGCCATCCGGTAATCCCCAGTTTTTCAATGGTTCTCTAATGGAAGTCATCATGTAATCAAAACTGAAATAAAATGAATCGTTTAGTGTGCGGAATGTGTGGGGTAAGAATTATAAGACATAACCCAACAGAAGTTATACATCATTCATTATTTCTAATGGATTTTGCAGACAAACTAAGTGGTGTGTGCTTAATGTTGCAGATTGAATTTTATGAAGTAAGGTTCATTAATAGAGTTAACTATGTAAATATACCCAGTTGTTTCAATGTTTTCAGTTTTTTTCGTTTAAGAATTCCAATTAAGTAGTTTTACTTTTAATCCATTCTCCGTCTTGTTAGATTGTACATACAAAACGCAGTTTCTACGGAAAGGTACACAGGTTAAAGTATTTACTTGATAGTCTTGTAAATAAAAGAGAATTACCTCCTTAAAGAGCATTATACAATAAAACAAATACTTGGAAACAATTAACATGATACTTCCTGTTACAACAGCTGAAATCAAGTTGGGAAATGCCTCATTTATTCATTGCAGTTTAATTTACAAACTAGTGCGTTTACATTGACTGCAAACTTAAATTGTGCGAGCCAGTACTTAATAAATTTTCATCCGATCAGAAAACTTTGTTAATAAATTCAACTTGCTGATAGATTTAATCTAGAATCACGTTTTTTCTGCAAATGTTGACATTCTCATTTGAGTAGTTTCTGTTTCTGGTGTTGATCAATAATTTCGAAAATTTTCAAAAATACATGACTCAATAATTTCTGCCTGTATAATACATGTTTTACAGTCTCGAGGTCAAAACAACTACTTAAACCCACGTTCAACTTTACAATACATGTTTATAAATTTAGTGTTGGTAAAGTTTGCTAGGTTGATAGCAATACGTGGATGGAGAGAGTTTTTAGCAAATAAAGCAGCTAATGAACTCATTTTTCATCCTTACATTTTAAAATACCTCGATAAATGCGTGCATTATTCTAACGAAGAAAATAAATCTTGGTTAAACTCTAAATTCATTAGCCGACTGAAGGTAATCATTGTAGCCGTTTATTTTTAAGTGATGGGACATGAGTTCCTTCAAGGTTGCAGATACGCCTTGCTGAGGAGTGCCGACCAGCACGAGACCTAGGTCCAAAGCTTCCTGCCGATCGCCTCCAACCATCTAATATCATCAGATCAATGTACACCGTGATGCCGAGCTACCTAGAATGGTGGTCACATTGCAAACCTGACTGATAGAATTCAGTCTGCACCAAAGAAAGGACTAGATACATCACACTATTTACTAGTGTCCAATCAAAGTATCCACTACAGTCCTGCAGGAGGTCAATCGCGAGCCTGAATAGCTCAATGGTAACGTCTCTGACTGCAGCACTGGGTGACGCGGGTTCAAATCTCAGAAGCGACATGAGTTCCTTCAAGGTTGCAGATACGCCTTGCTGACAAGTGCCGACCAGCACGAGACCTAGGTCCAAAGCTTCCTGCCGATTGCCTCCAACCATCTAATATCATCACAAACAATGTACACCGTGATGCCGAGCTACCTAGAATGGTGGTCACATTGCAAACCTGACTGATAGAATTCAGTCTGCACCAAAGAAAGGACTAGATACATCACACTATTTACTAGTGTCCAATCAAAGTATCCACTACAGTCCTGCAGGAGGTCAATCGCGAGCCTGAATAGCTCAATGGTAACGTCTCTGACTGCAGCACTGGGTGACGCGGGTTCAAATCTCAGAAGCGACATGAGTTCCTTCAAGGTTGCAGATACGCCTTGCTGACAAGTGCCGACCAGCACGAGACCTAGGTCCAAGGCTTCCTGCCGATTGCCTCTTATCATCTAATATCATCAGATGGTTGAAATCTTTTAGTCGAGTTAGTAATTTGATTTTTAAGTTAATTGAAATGAGACTACTGAGCACTCCAGATATTTTTCTTTCTGATATTAAATAATAGGAGTTGTTCTGTAAGCTACCTATTTTAAAATAGGCCTTCTACTTGTTACTACCTACTAGCGAAGTGGACATGCAGTCCAGATGGAACTACAGTTTTCTTCATGGTCTGAGATTGAATTACTCTGGTTATGATCTTAATTACAAAAATAGCAGAAAATGATTGATACTGTCTACGACACACAAATTAGTCACTGAATATTTACTAATGTTTGTAGCTTTGCTTCTTTTAAAAATAAATTCTACTGAGTTTACTGCAGGCTTAACAAGTCGGATTACGGTGATAGGTGAATTTTATAGTAGCTCTGATGAGAAGTATTTTTATATCATTGGCATGTCTTAAGATTTCTCATAGTGATGCAAGTAATTCCTCATTCTTAAAATTCCAAATCTTTCATGATTTTACATCCATTTGTTCGTTGTCTTCTTATTTCTTTGCATACCTTTTTGTTTATACAGTGTTGTGGTGAGAGTGAGAGGTAGCTTGACACGTTGCACTTTTCTGAGAGGTTATATGTCTGTCTGTCTAGAAATCTATTGATTTTTAATACCTTATCGAAGTAGCGAAATTTTAGTAAAAGCCTTCCAGTATTCAAGATAGATTTGTATAATGATTTTATTTTAAATCTCCTTGTTGTTATAACCAAATAAGTAGTATTCCAGAAGAGATTTTTTTCTCGTAAACTGGCTTCAGTTAGGGAAATATTCTTCAGCAGTGCACATCTACAACCTCATGAGGGTTGACTCTAGAACTGTCAGGTTGCAAAGAATTCTCTTTAACACTCAAATAATGTGATGGAATTGGATGGCTCATGATTAATTAGTCAACGAAATAACGCAACTTCCACTCAGTTTTATCGATGCATAATTGTCTCAATACCGGATTTAATGAACTTCACGGGTCACAACTTCTCACTCGAACTTGATCTGAGTTAAGTCATCACCAGTGAACAGTAGATTGTTAATACACTGTTTGGCCTTTGGGAAGTTGACTGATTTTAAAATAGTTTCATCGAAAAATCTGCCCTGAAGCCAGTCGAATTCTGAGAATGTTAACGTACTACTGGAAATTAGTTATTGTTACAGCTAGTTAATTGTTCCAACTATAAATTAACAGGAGTGAACCTGTTGTAAAAGTAAGAACATACAGTATTTTAATCACTAGATTATTCAAGTGAAACTGGTTGATACCTAGGCGAACATTGATATTGTGAACATCCGAAGATTTTGCCAATAATGACTACTTAAAGCATTCACAATGGAGCAACATTTAAGACACAAGTGACCTTCCAAGTTGGTTATTCCACCTGTTCTGGATTGGATACGTTTCGTGATTGCTGTTAAGCCTAAGATAGTCGGTCAAATAAAACGAAGTGAATAATGTTTGCGTGCAATTTTCATGTGCACCTGCATAGAGCCCCCAGTTCCTTGTTTTACGCTCATTCAACAGTTTCTTAAATCTTTTTTTTATTATAGTCTTTTAGTAAATATCATTGTATCAAATCGTAAATGATGTGATTCAGTCGTTGATGTACCTGAAGTTATGCTTGAATAATTATTGGAACTCATAATTGGAAACTAAAAATTTCTTCTTTGTAGTTTATAAGATTATGGAAGTGAAGGCTTAAAAAGTTAGGTGAGATGGATACATGTTGATCCCAATATTTGCAGTCGTAGTCGTAGGTGCCATTTTAAAACTGTCAAATGTTTATTTCGCGTACTGTCACGTACTGCTTAATTATGAAATCGATGCTTTTTTATCTCACCAGTCCGATTTCTAATTAACGTTTCGCTGCACCGCGAGATGTACTCAGTCTAACTGCTTGAATTTTTAATGAAACTGAATAACCAAGAATATGTGCTCATTATAAACAAAAATGTAATGTACAGATATTAAGAATGCACATACGAATCGTAATGCTCAATGACAGTAATTCACGTTCAACAAAGTACACACTAGTTACACTTGCTACCTTTTCAGTAGAATTACCTGTCAATTATGAGACTGTTTAGGTGGTTTGATGAAAATTTGGATCGATTTAATTTTAATTGAACGGATCGTTGAAGAATAGCACTGGACGGCTGTTTCGTCCTATTTCGGGACTCTTCATCAATTGACAAGGTTAGGAAATTACGTGTCAATGAATTCCGGTCTAAGTGACTGAATGATCAACGAGCTTGGTTTCGTAACCTCAAGGTCTCGAGTTTAATCCTTAGTGGGGTCATAGGTGCGCACTGATGAAGAGTCCCAAAATAGGACGCAACAGCTGTCCAGTACCTCTGGTTTCCAGTAATCTTTCTAACTGATACTGATTTGTGACGAAACCCTGAGGACTGAAATCGAATTTGATATCATTATTTAATAAAGATAAGACAGTTTTAGATTTTTACGTGCATACACATGAAATACGCTTGTTCGTTTAATTTTTTCTTTCCATTATATTCAGCTTCAAGTTACACATTTAGTTCTAAAATTACTATACTTTGCGATTGTGCGTTTTTACTGAGGATACCTTGTGATCTTTTTTTAAATGTGTAGCTTTGGCATAGCCATAGGTATTACTATGTGTGGTTCCGGTGTGGGCGCATTTGCATCAAATTATCTTCTGGCTTGGCTTTTAAGCATTTGGAACTGGCGAGAAGTGCTATTGATCGAGTCAGCCATCCTTTTGAATATTCTGGTAACAGCATCATGTTCCCATCACTTAGATGCAGAAATCAATACAAGACCACCGGATGAGCAAAAAATTTGTTTTTCGGAAGATGTAAGTTACTATTTTGGATATTGCTATTTGAAGCAGGTTTTTGTGCATATGTTGTATTTACTGCTTTCAAATTGTAGCTATAATTTATACACAGATCAGTAATCCATCCATTCGCAGTATTCGCATTCCATTTCAGTAGTCGAGATGCAACTTAAGTTTAGTTTTATGATCAGGAAATTTGACAAGGAGCAGGAAGTATTGTTCGTGTTCAGTTACTTATGCTACCAAATATGAACCATTTATCATAGCAGTAACGAATAACTGATTCTAATGTAACTGAGAACGGTTTTTGTCCTGCCAAGTATGCTAGTAAAGGGAACGATTGACTGTCACTTGCTGAAATAATAACACCATCACTTTCTCTTTGCGAATTCATTGGTAGATAAGTCTTCTTAACTTTTGTTTTAAATTAAACAGGCGGAAAAGTTGAAAAGTGAAGCGAGCTGTATAGACTTAGACCTGATGGAAATTTTCGTAAGAGTATTCCAGATGTCATGTAAAGAACTGTTGAATTACTTAGTCTTGTTAAATAGAAACAAACTATTATTGGAAGAAAAAGTCCCCCTCCTTCTCTGTATAAATTATCCCCATTTACTCGTTGCATTTAGCTTCTTTTATGCATAAACGATAAGAGGAAAACGTTAAAGACGATACTTAAAGTAAGAATAATAATAGTAGTTCTACAGATGGAGACTAAAACAGCGTAAACAAGAAAACTATCAGATTTTTTGTTGTCTCACTTGGGTTTCTCTGTTGAGCTTATTTCCCCAAAGAGAATAATGCATTCGTATTACTTAAACGTATATATTTTCAATTCAGTTCGTAGCACATTTATTTCAACTACAGTATTCACATCCTTATTCAATTGTGTCTAGCTGTCCATATCTGATCAGCTAATTAAATAATCAAGTACTTTGGAATAGTGTAAAAAGTGAATTTTGTGATTGGTTGGTTGAAAAAGTAAAGAAATCAAAGCACTCAGGCAATTACTGAATGTTATAATTAGAGTTTACAAGACCGGTGTAATATCGATGTCATCCAGTTCTAACTTAATGAAATATATAGACTGAAAAATGATTTTTCTGCGACAAATTAACCGGTTCTGATAAATTCAAAATTTAACCACGTGCCTCTGAGGTAGGAAGATTGTCACTGATGTATATATATATATATAAATTCTTGTCAGCAGTCTGACGATTCAAGAATTCCGACATATTTTCATTCCTAATGGTATGTGTAGAATAATAATAATAATACGGAATATTTTAGCATGAGAAAATATAGATTATTTTAAAAAAATCATGATGTTAAAATTTGGCTTCTAGGTACACAGATTATTTTGTCATTAATGTATTGTTTAGTTAAAATATTGGGGGGGGGGGGGTTCACATCTCTCTGGAGTGATCAGATTCATCGAAAGTGGCATTAACAGTTTGATGATGAATCTTAGCAACTTTGGAATATAGTGTCTATTGTCGATTATCTTTTCATAGCGGAACAACAAATCAGTTGTATTGGACAGAATAGTGAAAAGTACTCACTTATTTTAGAAATTGTAATTCGTATCAAAGAGTTCTATTCTACATGGTACAACACAACTTAAAGAGAATTTGGACGGCAGTTACTGTATTTATCAAGAAAGACACATTATAAGCTGTTTGACAGCTTTGGGAAACTTAATTATGTTAATTTTTTTGGGATTTTGTTTGAACATTGTCAAGATCATGAGCTACTTAATGAATTCATGTACACCTTCTTAAAGTATTTCGGCAAGCATAACGTTTAGTCCAAACAATACTCCAAGCTGATAGGCTGTTACTATGTGAAACCAAGATGACACGTTTCAGAATTGTCATATCACTCAGCTCATTGATCTCACTATATAGAACAACCACTTTGATAATCACCTGGGAATGAATTCATCAACAGCGCTGAACTGTGAAAATAGGCATGCAGACTAACTGTTGAATGGGAAGGGTTGCAGAAAATATTTTCATTTTGAAAATATTTCTGAATTAATTGCCTTATTCGTTTTTTTGTATTGCGGCGAGTGCTACTGATCAGATCTATCAGCAGTATATAAAGAAACGTTCATGGGCATAAAAACATCAAATAGTAGGGAGATACATTTGATGTCTGAGATGGTAAATGGAACAGCATTGTGCAGATACATGAGAAACGTGAAAGGAACACAAAGAAACATAATATGAAGTCCAGAAGTACCACAACACGAAGATCTGTGAAAATGGTGTGTTGAAAATAAGGTGGCTATATAGAGATACCAGCTTTCAGATAGACATGGATTTACCAAGTCTTTCGTTTTCTACTGTTTATTAAGTTTAAGTAGCAAGACAGACTATTAGTCGTTCTGTTTCTGTTGCTTTATTCTTTCTGTACCATTATGATACGCAAAAGTGATTGGAGTAGAACATTGCTGCGCTAACCTGTATACTTATTTTTCTTTCCGCTTCCATTTTGAGATATCTTCTTCCTTCAGTTGCTTTTTCTAATATTGTAGTCGTTTATTTCATTTACTCTCTAAATAAATTGACGCAAATCTTTTGGTAACACTTACCTCTGTTATTTCGTAATTAGAACTTTGATTTCCCTATTAAACCTTTATAAACCCGTCAAATTAACTCATGTATATGCTTGGGTATGGTGAATTAATTTTTTATAAGTACATTACTGGTAGATGGTACACGTAAATATTTATAACTGTAAATTGTTTTGGTGAATGTAACACTTACAAATCTGTATCTAACACTTACTGCAAAACTTTCAAAACATAGCTATACCAGCAAGATTAATTTAATACAACAAATTAATCTTTGCGAAATGTAATGTAGAAAAGCTTAAAAAGGGTATATGAAACAAGGTGAAATAGTTTTTCTGGAAAGGTCGACACTGCCGAGAGTTGACTGTTCTATGGGAAGCTTGATAACAATTATGCAGGGCGCTTCTCGTTATTATATACACATGAAGTTGTGTTTCTTGGTGCTTAAGCTAGACCGGACTTGTGTCTTTAACCAAATAAAGGCTGAATGCTATTTTCATTGAAGTTATTTTTGTATTTTCTTCAATAATGAATACAATGAGAAGTATTTTCAAAGCTCTAACTCTTTTAACTAGTTTCTGCAGTGACTGCATCTTTGCCAACTAGGTAATTTTGAATTAATCTTTTCTACTTGTGTGGCACTTTACTCTTAATCAAATGTGCCGGTGGAATAATCTTGACATCCCTGATAAATTTCGACAGAATTATTGTCACTGCTGGAGGTTCATACAGATATTTAAGTCAAATTTCACGTATTTATTAAATAACTGTGAAAATACCATAACTTTCATCATATAATTTTGCACTCTCACATTTAATGAATATTTATTTCTATTATAAAGTCAGAAGATGAAACTAGATGTCATCCAAATGAAAATTCTACTCAAGGTATGTATTTTGTGCTTGACGTGTTTTAGTGTTGTTTTTTTTCTCAACTGTGTACTTGAATGTTTAAGTTGTGAATATTCATTGATCCTATGGAACTTGGATACAGAATTTAATTGTTAAATTGAAGGCAAAGTGTAGTCTGAGATTTAACACTGTCGTTGACACTAATGTGAGACTACGAAGTTTTCATTGTCGAACTAGATATTCTCTATAACTGTTAACAGATTACCAATACGCACCCACTGGTGTTCGAACCCAGGACCTTCTGGTTACAAGGCGAACTCGTGGACCGTTAAGCCACTGGGACCCTATCCAGTGGACCATGAATTCTAACTTCTGCCAATTCACGATATAGTGAAACCACTTAGCAGTGTTTTCTTCGATGAGTCACTGACTCACCTTAAACCTGTTGTACCCTAGTGGTCATGACTTCCTACTAGAACCCCAGGTTAACTACCTGAGCATCAGATCAATTTTCAAGTATTGATTGTCTGGAGGATTTCATTATGAGCTGACATCAGTTAGAGAATCACTGGAAGACCTGACCAATAGGGAATAAGGCAGTAACTCATCGAAAAAGACATTGTGAAGTGATCGCACTATTTCGTGAATTGGCACAAGTTAGGATTCGTGGTCCATTGGGTCGGGTCCCAGTGGCCTAATGGTTTACGAGCTCGCCGGCCTTGTAACCAGAAGGTCCTGGGTTCGAACCCTGGCGGCGGGTGCGTACTGATGAAGAGTCCCAAACTACGATGAAACAGCCGTCCAGTATTCTGTGCTGGTTTTCCAATGGTTCTCTAACTGATGTCAGCTTAAAGGAGTAGTGCCATAAAAATGTGCATTACTGGTATGGTTATGCTGACTCAGTTGGATAGCTTAATTAAAAAGCTTTTGTTATCCTCCTAGATAAAATCTTCAGCATTGGTTTCATTTGGAAGCAGAATTTTTTTTGCAATTCTACGTGAATTAAATAAAAGTCTTTCCTGATGTCTGTAACTGTGATTGGTTGTCTTCAAAATTTTTGCTTTCCTTGTACTAAGGGACTGAAACCATTCGGAATAGATATCACACTCAAAACTGAAATACCCAGTTCATTCAATAGTATATAGAGCAAAAGACACAGCAGAGAAAAGTAGCAAGGTCAGTACCATCTACAATATAATCAATAATGAAAAAAAAAACATTATATTAGCCAAAATACAATAGTATAAATTAGATATAGAAATCACATGTACTTCTTCATACCAATGCATGTAGACATCTATGGATAGTGCGTTGATTGGGAAAATGTAGGAATGTGGACAGTGGATATACTGAAAACGTCAGAGAATTCCGATAAGCCTAGCATCCTGGCTAATGTGCACTCAACAGATATGTTGACATAAATCAGATTTATCAATCTGTGAAGAACGAGTCATACGGAGAAATGGTCAAATACCAGGTCAACGAAACGATTGATACCAGTGTAAATAAAAGCGATAGTCGGAAAACCAATCACAATAAGTATCATCAGAAAGAGAGATAGTTGTTACATTCACAGAGAATTCCCATAAACTCACTTCACACTGAATTTAACGTCGATATCGTAAGCTTCTCAATCAAACCATTAAGCTGAGTGAACAAACCCCTAACGAAAAACATCCATTTGAGCCAAAAATCTTTTCTATTATCTCAAGTGTGCTTTTAAAACTGGAGGTATTATTAGACCTCTAACTTATTGATTGAGCTTTGATCGATTAGCCTAACTAGTTGCAGCTTCACCATATGGTCAAATAACAGGAAGTAAGCAGTAACTCGTTCGTAAAAAAGGATAAAGAACAAAAATATCTTTCTTTATAATATGCGTAGTAACAGAATTTGTTGAAGTAATATGATCAACTTGAAACACTTGATAAAAGCAAAAAAATAACTGCATGCGTGAGAAATGTAGAATAAGGCATTTCTTATGAGATACCTTGATGTTAGGTAACATGAAACTTAAGCCCAAAACAATCTATTTTATTCACACTATTTATTTTAATTACAATCTGCTTTTGTAGTTTCCACAAATGTTGGACACTTTTGGACTACATTTCGATTCTGTTTGTGTGTTCCATCATTATGTCGTTTCCAAAGATATCAGCCACTCTTAGGCCAACGAAAAACAATTAGTACTGAAATTGAGGACAATGAACAAGGTATCGTTAATGGAGAGATGGTAGTTAGGAAAAATATTTCAGTTAAACTGCAGTCATGCGCATGTCCACAATTTATTCAAGCATCCAAGACCAATTTTAAACAGTTATTGTCACCAAAACTGTGGAAGAATTCGAATTTCTTATTTTATGTGATAACGAATGGAATAACTGGTGCTGGAGTTGTCATACCATGGACGTTTATTTACGACTATGTTTTGTCAACGCTATCCTCTTTAAATTATCGTAATCATATAGGACTTGTGAATATTGATGATATCTCATGGCTGCCATCTTTAATTGGTTTCGGTTTGCTATTTGGTAAGTTCCTTCGGTCATCTTTTATTTCCAAACTCCCATTTACGCATTTAGAAAAAACAGTAGATTGAGCGAAGAAATATCGTCGGCTCTACACCGGTATATAGTTTTTACATCAAAATGTTTTACCAGTCAAGTGGTTATTTTAGCTAATCAGTTGTAGGTATAGGGGGGAAGGTGAAGTCAAGAGGTTAAAGGTCATCAAAACAAATAACTCGTAGATGTTAATAACAATATATTTAAGTTTTAAAAGACGGGGAAAATTAATTTTGAATTCAAGATAGGTTGATTCTTAGGCGTTGACAACAAGTTATTACACAATGAAGAAATTTGTAGAATAGCAATGATGACTAAGAATAATGGGATGTCTCAAACGAGTTACGTAAAATACAAACAGGTTAATAGAATTAGCTAGAATTGCAAAAATTAACAAAGTCAGAAGATAGTTACAAAGGGAGAGGAAAAATCGTTTTTAAAAACTTAATACATATTATATAGTTGGCCATGGCAAAGAAAGGAGCTATACAAATTTCTTGTAAACATCCAGTTTTGGCTTTTTCCGATGAATTCCGATTGCCCCTACTGTATGTAAAAGTCGTACTCGTAGACCATGTGGGAGGCTGAGTGACATACGATAAATAACTTTAAAAGCTTTGTTATAGTCGGTTTGATGTCGAGCATTGTAAATGGACCCCAAGACTTCAGCGGACTTGATGACACCACTACTGGAGAAGGTGTGGAAAGAGGGCAAGCTACCTGCTGATTGGAGAAAAGACTACCTATTCAAACTGCCAAAGGATGGAGACTTAAGTCAATGGAAGGACTGGCGCGGAATTATGCTGCTGTCTATCCCAAACAAAATACTAAGCCGCATCATCTTGGAGAGAATCGGACACGCCGTGGATGAAAAACTTCGGCCCGAACAGGCTGGATTCAGGAGGAACAGGTCATGCGTCGATCAAATCGCAAAACTACGGATCATCATTGAACAGGGCTTGGAATGACAGTCAGCTCTCCACCTCAATTTCATCGACTTTTAAAAGGCCTTCGACAGCGTCGATCGAAAGGTGATTTGGAAACTTTTTCGCTACTACGGGGTGCCGTTACCAATAATACACTTCATCCAACAGTTGAACGACAATTCTGCATGTCAAGGAATCCACAATAGGAAACTTCGAGTAAGACAAGGCTGCCTACTATCTCCAATGATTTTCCTGATTGCGGCAGGCTGGATTGTGTGTCAGAGAGGGGGCAACGATGAGGCAGGTATAAAATGGACACACACAAAAAACTTGGAGGATCTGGACTTCGCCGATGATATATGTCTGATTTCCCACAAACTGGAAGATATGCAAGAAAAAACAAAAAGTTGGCAGAAGAAGCATCAAAGATAGGACTTCAGGTGAACATAGAGAAAACAGAGGTAATGAAGATTCCTGGGCAACACCACCAACAGCAACAACAACAGAAGACAACAATCAGCATAAATGGGAGGAACCTGAAAGAAACAACCTCCTTTACCTACACACCCACCTGGGAAGCATCGTTTCAACTACAGGCTAACGGAACTGACGAGGATATCAAAGCAAGAATCTGAAAAGCAAGACAAGTTTTCACTACTCTCAAGTCTGTGTGGAGGTCAACAACTCTCAGCATAAAAAATAAGATCCTGATTTTCAACTCCAATGTGAAGTCAGTGCTACTATACGGATCACAGACTAGGCCAGCGTGTCATGAAGGGCACTTCGCACAAACTACAGACCTTCATTAACGGTTGTCTTCACTCAATACTCAAGATCAGATGGCTGGCCAGAAAAGATCAGAAACAGAGATCTCTGGCAATGAGCGAATCAATGGATTGGCCATACTCTGAGGAAACCATCAAGTGACATCACCAGACAAGCCCTCGAGTGGAACCCGAAGGGAAAGTGGCGAGTTGGTCGTCAGTGCGAGGGCGATATGGAGGAGGTGATGCGAAGAGGAGATGAAAGCATGTGGGCAGACATGGAGCCAGGTGAAAACGCTGGCAGAGAACCAAATGCGATGGAGACGTGCGGCTGAAGACGTATGTTCCTCTGGGAACTAAATGAAACAATAATAATAAGTATTGGTCGGTTAGTGAATACACAGCACAGCTTAGCTGCGTTGAAAGTTCTTTTGAAGGCCCATCTCAGACGTTGTGATGAGATCTCACTATTGACATCACCCATGAATTGTAACCTTAGGTAGACTGATTTTTTTGGGAGCAGTCGACACCTTCGACTTTTTACTTTCTGAATTCATGTGTTTGTTCATGAATTTGGTTGGATATCCGTTTCTACTTTGTGGACCGAGAATATTACCGGGTTCTTCGTTCAGTGTCGCATTTGAATAGATAACTCTAGCCCAGTGAACCACACATCTAACCAATTTACGTTTGTATTGTAGAAGTACGAAGCTTTTATTTGAACCGTACATGTGGTGTGAAGTAAGAGAATAAGAAATAAAATAATTTATCAAAGTTACTCATTAGTTTCCTACAAATCTGTAATTACCGTTGACTTATTTTGAAGGCACATATGGGTGCCAATTTTCGCTTCGAAACATGACAGTCTTAAACTCTTCCGGACAGTCAAAAACAATGACAAAACTGGTGTCTAGTACACCTTAAGCCTCAGTAGTTGTCGTTAAGATGTTTACGGTGAAATCGACCCCTGACAATTCCGTATATTTTAATAACCGTAGTTTTTAAGTTAAGTTGGCGTTGTCTTGCTTCCAGTTATTTTTTTTATTCTAAGGTGAATTTCAATTGAAGGTGTAATAATAACTTCTTAGCCTTCTAATGATACTGTTAGGAATTTTCGTTTTGAAATCTAGTTATTTTTCCTGTCTCTTTACTAGGCCAGCTGTTTTTCGGTTTGATAACATCTCAGTTTGGTGATATTGGTGCTTGCTGTGAAAATTGCAAAGAAGATGTCAGCAATAAAGATAACTGTTGTTGCTCACCGTCTTCTTTTCAGACTGTTATGACGGAAAAATGTAAAGCAACAAAGTATCGATTTCACCTGTCAGTTTTTCTAAGTGTACTTCTTTTAAACGGTGTATGCACATTAAGTATGGCTGTTATACCTTTGCAATCTATGAAAAGCACAACCAAGCACTTTGAGCTTTTTTCTCATGCCGAAGGACAACTATTGGCATTGGCTTGTTTTTTCGTTGGGATGTCGAATGGTGGACTATACGTCATATTTCCGCAGTTAATAATTGATATTGTAGGTGTTGAATTGTGGTCTTCTGGGCTTGGCTTGTTTTTAGCCTTTAATGGTGCTATGAACTTATGTGGAACAAATATTGGGGGTGAGTCAATTTAACATGCACTTTTGTATTGACTGTCTTTTGCATAATTCTCGAAACGTAGATAATGCTACCGCTGGTAATAATAGCAATCAAAGTAATTTCATATTAGATAAGTTTGTTTTTTAAATATCAGTCAGTGATGGAGTATTAATAACACTTACATTAATTATCATAATTGTAAAGAAATTAGCAGTTTGTTAGTTAATTTGTGATTTGTAATTTACACAGTACGAGATGAAATTTTACCACAGTTTCATCTAAGAAGAGAAATTATTCAGATAACAATATGTGATCTGCTTTAGACCACAAATGACAATGAATTAAGTAAGCACAAAAGCATCAACCTGATGTTAGTAGAATTCAACTACTCATATCGATCAGTTAGTAGTATACGACATGATAATCGAAAATAATTCACGGCGGTATCTGTTCCCATAACCATTATCTTCCGGGAGTTTAAAATTAATTTTAGAGTTCCAGTGTTTTTACAATCCAATCGCCTATGATTTTAGTGAATTAACTCGTGGATATGGTCCGTATTTTATTTGACAGTAGATTTCATGATATTTACCTCTGCTTTTTATGGCGATATAATAATCATTGAACAGGTGTCAGTGCGAGCATAGCTACAATTTCCAGATTTAGAGGTGTTACCTTACAACTTATAGTAGTGATTACCAATTTGCATAGGTATACTAATGGCTACCTAAACCCAATTAAAATAGTTCGACTGTTAAGTATTTTAAATTCAAATTTATAGATCACTTTTTGTTTTGATTTTTGTGAAAATTTCTTTTGCCAGGTCGGATTAATGATACAACAGGTTCATATCAAACGGCCTTTATAATAGCTGCATGCCTTCCATTCATTTCCTTTCTTTTAATGATTTCGAAAGAGCTCATCACAAGGGCACTGTGTCCTCCTAAGTTATCCGTTGATTGTGACATACAACCGGAATAAATTTCAATCTGAGACTGCTTGTACAGATGACAATAGTTTTTTTGTTTGTTTCTAAAAATCCTTCTCGCTGTAAAATTCTTTTATTATATCTTCCTATTATAAGTACAACATCTGTGTAGTAACTTTTATCTCTTTCGGAAAAATCTGTTCATCAGTAATAAATCCAGATGATGTGTGTATAGCACTAGAGGACATATCTGGTCACAAACTGCTTGGAAATAAACATGTAATATCACTTAATTTACCTTTTTGTTTGAACAGATGATCAGTGTCATAGATGAATTCACTGTTGATCTACGATACTAAATGTGGACTTTTTAATGCTCTCTGTGTTGGTATTATTACATGATGCTCTTTCAAACCATTCAGAGATGTAAAAGTGTTCGGCATCAGCACCTAGTTCAAACAAATCTTCAAATCAGTTACTGATTTTGTGATATTGTGAGCATTGTTTTGCGTCCCGAACAGTTGTCGTGACGTACTTGCTTAAAATTAGGGTCTTCAGTGTCATTTATTAGTTAAATGTGACGCATAATGATGTTCTAGTATGTAAGCGTGATTTGATAGAATTATTTCTTTTTTTAAGCCAAGAGGACTAAAATCACGAAATTTTTCTTAAAGGGTTTCATGCTGTGAACCGAATCCTCCTTTGCAGCGAAAAGTACGTAGTTTTTTTCAAGATACTGTTGCACACGTGGAATGTAATTTCTTCTTTACATAGGTATTTCATTATTAATAAATGAAGTTATGGTCAACATGACTGAAAAATACTGTTCGTATCAACGAAATACCACACATTTATTAGCACAGGGTGCATCAAACAGACAAGTGAATGACTTATGTGTACAGTGGAACTTCTACACATCGAATAAATAAAAGTAACCGTCAATAAGTAAACATATATTTGTAAGAGCAATGTTTGAGCACACCAGCAGAATACACTCCCAAATTAGATAAATCCTTTTCAATTTAGCACACAGTGATACAGTATTAATAACTGGGTGATGATTCGTACAAAATTTATTGACCATTGTCATGTCTTTGTATCCACACAATTGTCTGACTTACTTTTTATAGCCTTACTTTTCTTTTTCTACTTGCTTTCGCTTTTCATTTATGTCCGGAATATATGTAGAGCCTTTCGATTGCATTCACTCGAAAACTGGCCTCACAGCCACACCATGATATTTGGTAAACTATATTATTTATTTTAATTGAACCCAAGGGGTCCTGAGGCTGACAAAATTTGTCTGTGAGTAAGGTGGCTGGTTTAAGAGCCACCCTAATTTCAATCCTGTTAAGAACGTATGTGTGGCCCCTGATGTTCTTTTTGTATGGCATTACTGTCGAGGTTTGGGATTATTTATTTTTTATACTTTCAGTATTACTACTCTTATTTCCATGTACACACGTCATCAAGATAAACTAAATTCTTACGTGTATTGAAGCCAAGGAGAACAACCTGTATTGATCGTGGGTAAGCGGCAAGAATGTTACTCAATGAGAGAGCTTTATTTGGTATAGCGCTGATTTTGCGCTTATTGATGCATGCGGATACTATATGTGTTACTCAGGAAGACGATAAAGACATAAAAACCATTATATCCAGCACGGTATACACTGAATTATCTATCTGGGTGTATTAAGTAGCAGAGATTTTGCTAGTTGGCCAGTGAAGTTGTGGATGGCTAACAGTTTCGATTAGGTGTTGCACAATATTAATGATTTTCGTGGATTCTTCCTCCTGTCAAAGACATCCAAAAGCGGGCAGCTTTACGGATTCATCAATATCCGGAAATATCATTGTAGCCCTCCTCTAATCATACTGAAAAACAATGTCAGCAGACCAACATTGTGTTAAAAAGATTGCGGGTTGAGATTTTAGTGGTCCATCTGCTTGAGAGGTAGTGGCTTTATTCACTTCTAAAACCCCTGATGCAAAGTTTCTGTCTATAAAAGCAGCTTTTGACACCTCATGTATACCCTGAGGCGCGTTAAACACTAAGTTTTAGTCCGGTGATGGAAGAACGGGGACAGTAAAGTATTCCGATAACGCTATATTAATGGAGCTAATTAAAAGGGGACAGGTATTTGGTGTACGTTATTTATCAATATATGTAACAATTTATTATTATCCCAAGAGTCTACTGTGGAAAATAATGAAGATGGGTGCAGATGTCAACGCAAACTAGGTCATCCGATAACAGAAATGCCCGCATCTATTTTTCCTTCAAAGTCGGTTCTAAGAGTGCCTGGAATGACTAATGCATGAAGAATATGAAGGCAGTTTGAAAAAATATCGCCTGATTACTTACGTCGTGAAATTTTTAATTTTATCTGAACGCTGATGGAAAATAGAGGTGGAAATTCTTGATCAGACACACGGGAGAACAATCATTAAAGGAAGACGGCAAAGTTAGAGTTTAAGCACCACTAACTACCGGTCAGAGAATGACCTAGGACGCACCAATCACGTGATGAAGACATTTTTAATTATGGAATACATATGTTTATGAAAAAGTATGCATAAATCTGTTACATAGGATACCTTTCTCTCACATGTGATAAAACCTTACCTAGTTTAACATAGGAGTATCAACTGAATAGACACACCACATCCTATACATATATTCATCTAAGTGACTTCAAATTATATCGTTTTGAGATCCATTAACGGCCGTAGTCCTGCTTTTTAAGCTTCTTCAAAGGCCTTTTATAGAATTGGTGTGGGTCCCTATACTGGGATACACAAAATCATTATAATAGTTGATTCTCTGGTGAATATGTCCAAAGAATGACAAGGAGTTGTAGCCTTTCCACTCATCAATGTGTAATATAGATCCCCGTTTCAAAATTCGAGTGACAAAAGGTATTAAGGTAGTTGAATTTGTGTGTGCTGTCCTCTCAAAGAATCCTTTCTGTAGAGAGGTATCATATAAACCAATCACCCAAACATTATAAGCTCGTTCTCGTCCACGGATGTATTTTTTATTCAATGAAACAGTTTCATCCACGTACACGACGATATCTTCTCCTCCTGATAGCAGAGTAACTCTTTCCGCTTTCCATGACACGTTATCTCTACAGTGCTGGTACCGGTTAACTATTGATGCAAGATTATTATCAGTTTCAGCAGCTGCACCTCTCACAGGCTGATTTAAAACCCAGTAATTACAAATAAACAAAATCTGGGTTAAGTGAAACTGGGACCTGACAAAAAATGTTCCTACGAAATATTAAAATCATCAGCTTACCTTCCCTAACACTAACTCGTCTCAAACAAATTTCACAACGATGGACATATCCATCAGCCGACCTACTGAAGCTTTCTGTGATCATGAACAAGTCCTTTCCTTCCTGATCAACCCCAGATCCAAGCAAAACTAGAAAATTGTATCCCCACCAAACTAAAAACGCAATTGCGTTAGAGCAGGCACTTGACTCGAAGCGAGCGGAATAGAAGCTTCAACTCAATGGACCATTCTTGGCCATTCGCTGACTGGTAGTTATTGATGCTTAAAGTTTAACTTGGCCTACGAGGCTTACAAAGAGTTCATTTCAGGGTCAATTATTCATCTGCATCTCATTCAGTCACTAGCTCATTAATTGTCTGTCGTTTTCCTCAGTAGAGTATCCAAAGACTTCCTCTTTCTTGTTACCCTAATATTTTTCCTCTGCTCAAATAAATTATGGGTTGACAGGAACCTCTAAGTAGTCAGATATATCCCAGACATTATTGTTACTTCTTATCCCCTGATCATGCAATGCATTGGGCTCTGTGAACATAGCAATGGAAGTCGTAACAGTGGATCGAAAGTGCTGCACCAACCATACGTAGTATAAATTGGGCAATAATATCTGATTAAACCTCAACACTGTAGGCGGACTAGAACTTTGAGTGGAAAAGGAAGATTACTCTTTAACCACTCGTCAGCTGAGTCTACTATTGTGGCGAATGTTTGTAAGAGGTTGTGAAATGGGTCAATTTTTAGTTTGTCAAATGAACGTAGAAGTGGTACCCGAAAAAACATTAAATAGCATCGAGAAACCTCATAAAGAAAGTGAATTTCTAAGACTACATACATCTTGGGTTCAGGGTGGTTATTGGATTGCAATCTTGACTTTAGAAACACTTTCTAGATAATGACGCCTAAAATTCCCACAACGAGAGTCTTTCACAAGTGGAATAAAGGAGGTGTGGCTAGACATGAAGTTACCGTGATAAACGGCATGAATGCCGAAGGCATGAAAGTCCTCTATGGCGACTATTTCCCTGTATCGTTGGCGCCTACACCTATTTAACACTTCCAGATTCAAATAGTCAATTAACACAGTCATTTCAAAATCAGGATTTAGATATGCCCTTTAGTAATATCTGTTGCCGTTAGATAGGTTTTCAGTGGGTTGTAGTTTTATAGGACAGTTTTCCTTTCAACATGGTATGGTTGTAGGCAATCCTCCGGTTTAGGGATTCAGGGTCAAATTATACATCTGAACTCATCTGCAGAAATCTCCGACTTATTTGTTGCTATTCGTATAGTTTCAGAGGAAAGATTATCATGTGGTTAAAATACTGTGCATATATTTGTTCTTCACATTTGGTTAATTATAATTTCGGAAGTGGGAACCATTACTCATATTGCTGTTGAGTACCGGTTCTCACACCAAGTCATAAACTCTTGGAACTGACTGCCAGAATAAGTGGCCTGCAACCTCAACTGATTCATTGAAGAAGGGTTTGAAAAGTCAAGGAAATTTACTGGAAAAGGATTAACATAGGCTCCAAGCCTTCTATTCTCAACCAATAAATCTGAATCTAATTATAGACAATTGTCAACGACTGGTTAAGTCCTTGTATCTGGTGAGAAATTTTATTTGCAAGGAGCTTATGTATGCAACAATATCTCTTTTTTGTTACTTTTGACTCCATGGACAGGTTCATCTTATAGTATTTGTATATCATGCTTCATAGAGCTTATTTGTTTTAACACTTCAATCTCATAACCAAGAAAGTAAATGTACTCTTGGAGCGTGATTCATAATTGTAGTAAAAAGATGTAATTAAAATATGGTTGAGAAGGTAGATGAAAATGACGTGGTTGTCACAATCGGAGTTTGTGCCATGGCTAAAAAAGCCATGTCAAAGCCAATGAAGGAGATTTTGCGAAGGATGGACAAGTTTCAGCATATTCAGATAATAATTTTTGAAGAGAAAGTGATCCTCGATTCTCCTATCGAATGTTGGCCCATATGTGACGCTCTTGTCAGCTTTTATTCCGAAGGATTTCCTCTCGAGAAGGCAATAGCCTACTCGAAACTTCGGAAACCATACCTTGTCAATGATTTGGAATCGCAATATATCCTGATGGATCGGAGACGTGTGTATGAGTGTTTAACAAGAGAAGGTGTTCCGGTTCCAAGATATGCTTTCGTCGACAGAACAGTAGAAAACCCTGCAAAGGTCGTTGAGCTTGATGATTCTATCGAGGTAATTAATTATATGGGTTGACAATTTAAGAATGGAATTTATAATCTTTATGTGTTGCAATTGCTTGACTTGAATTCGAAGGCATCCTTTCTAGTAAAAAGTAGGCTGCCAAATATTATGTATATGTACGGTTGTTTTTACTGTCATCTAGTCTTGAAATAAGCTGGTATAATTTGTTTTCGTGAGTTCGTTTTGTACAGATGAGAAACAACACAATGGTCCGATAGAGCATTTTACTGAACTTCAGCGGATTTCCTTTATCTCAGTTGTATTTTTGAAAGTATTAACTGTTCTGTAAAGCTAAAACATACATTTGAATATCCCAGATTAACTTCATCGAAAGTTTCACACATTCGTCAGCTCATATTTTAGTACCTAAAATCTGGCAAACGCAAGACAGTGTCTCTTACTTATTTGAAAACTTAATGGGTTTACATACTATTATTCGATAGAGTTTCTGTCTGTGTTTATGAATGTCAGTCACACTTATGTTTGGGACTCATTGGATGTGGTCGCATCCATCCATCACTGTTCGCACACAGGTTTTGATTATTTCTATTTAAGAAAGTTATTTCTGTGTGGTTTTACTAGTGCGAAATCTGAAAGTGTAAGAGATATATCCTCATTATCTTTATGCCGTTGTAGTAAATTGGAATGAAACTCTCTATACCCGCCCACACTTTCCTAGAGGAGTATGCATAGTACCATTATCTACCACTATATATTTAAACTTGTTGAATGTTATCACTTGCCGACTCACTTTCAGGTTTTTAGAAAATCAATTTGTTAAATACCTAAAACGCATAGAATTAGTGTCGCGCAACTGTGGAGCTCAGGGGAAAACTGCTTAAAGCTTTCAGATTCAGATTATAAGGATATATATCTCTGCAGAGATCTAGTTTCTCTTTTAAGGCGTTCACCGATGGAGCTGTTACTACTGAATGAGGTAAGGAGTTCCAGTCGTTGACCACTCTGAGAGAATCTAAGTTCCACACGTATTTTGCTCGACCTCGCTTCGAGCACCTACTTGTGATGACGTCGTAAATGTATCTTAGAGGGAGAGAAAAGGTTTGACAGGTCAATCCCTAAATCACCCTTTAATATACGGTATGCCAAAATTAAGTCGCCTCTCTTCCTTCGGTATGATAATGGGAAGAGATCTAAATGCTCCATCTTCTTATCATAAGGAAGGTGTGAGAATCCACTAACTAATTTGGTTTCTACCCTCTGTACTCTTTTCAGGATACTTGCCTCCTTTTTGAAGCATAAACTCGCTGCTTGTATGCAGTATTCTAGACGAGGTCTGACGTATGTTGCATAGAGTACTTGAAACATATCCTCGCCTAGTCATTTGAAAGCCCTTCAAAGTGCGCTTAGCATTTGAAATGCTTTAGCTGCGGCTGCATTATAATTTTCCGTTATTTTTTAAGTCATGGCTTACGATAATTCCTAAGTCCTTTTGTCCCTCAAGATCTGGCAATTGTGTCCCCCAAGCAGTACGACGTGTAAGACCTCTGATCTGGGTGCATTAACGCGCTTTTCTTGGAATTAGCCCATTCGGCTAATTTATCTAAATTTTTTGTAGTACCAACCTAATATCGTTATTATTTATGGTTTTCTTTATCGTAACATCGTCCGCAAATAATAGGGAAGATGAGGTAAGAATTGTCGGCAGTTCATTTACGTATAATAGGAATAGTGGGGGATCAAGTACAGATTCATGAGGTACTCCACTTAGTACTGCTTTTCACCCTGACAGTACACCATTAACCCTTACCTTCTGCCTTCTATCCATCAGGTAGTCGCTAAAGCACTCACACAGGCGTTACAGACAGCTTGCTTTGGAGTTGTGTCCGTACTAAGACCTTATCGCCGACCACAGACTGCCGTAGAGGGAGTTGTGATATACGACTTTCGGGGTCGACCTTTCCATAACTCCATCAGTGCTAAGACTCTTCACAGGCATCTTGCCAGTCTGAGTGAAATGCTTAACTGCTGTTACACTCCTATTCACCAGCAGTATGAATTCGCCCTCAGTTTCCCAACTTAGAGTAAACGACTTACACCGCAACAGCCACTACTTTTAGTCCAGCTATTCTGCAGACGACCGTTATAACACGGTGAAACTTTCTGAAACATTCGTTCCAGCCACTGTAGCTCGTTAGGTAATATTTATCTACTTAGCAGAAACGTTTTTTGTGCCGGTTCAGTGACCAATGTATAGAACTAATTGGAAAATAAAGGAAGTCAATCGATTCGTAGTGTGACTATTTGCAGCAAGGATAAGATTTATTTGATTACCACAATTTTAATTCCATAATGGGAGCTCAGAAGTTAGCGCAACTAATCAGAAGTGGTTAACGATATTTGTTAGAATCTAAGTCATTGACGAGTTTACTGCTCCATTCTGAAGTTAAAGCAACATTTTCAATTCTACCCGGTTGTTTTTGTTCCTATTTCACTTTCTTCTATTTTCATGAGTGTATATAATTACGCATATTTTATGTATGCGGCGAGTGGGTCGTCCAAGGGTGACTTGGAGGAGGTCATGTGAAGAGGAGATGAAGGCATATGGGCAGTCGTGGGGCCAGGTGAAAACGCTGGCAGAAAACCGAACGCAATGGAGACGTGCACCTGAATCCCTATGTTCCTCTAGGAACTAAAGGAAATAATAGTACTAATAATATGTATGCTTATGTATATAAGCAAAAAATATGAAGTGTGTGTATGTGACAAGAATTTTTCGCATATTTCTAGTATTTTTTATTTAGCCTTTTGTATTTTCTTGTCTGTCAATAATTTCAGTTAGTTGTGTTATCACTTCAAGTTTAAGGAATCGTTTCCGTTGTTCTTAAAACATTGTGCTCTCAGTAATTTGTTTCTCTTCTTATGGCTTTAATTCCCTGTACATAATCGCCAATTTCCCTTATTGCCTCAGTTTTCTGTCACCAATAGTCATAATTGGTCTTTGTAGCTAAGGTAGGTATACCACTCAAAAATTCCAAAATGGAAAATAAGTGTTTTTCGTGTTAATAAAACTTAAGTTCATCTTTAATTTTAACATTATAAATTATATGCACCTTCTGTTTTTGTAGATAAATGGAGAGGTTTTTCACAAACCGTTTGTTGAGAAACCTTTGGATGCAGAAGACCATAATGTGTATATATACTTTCCTAGTAGTGCTGGAGGTGGCAGTCAACGGCTGTTTAGGAAGGTGGGAAACCGCAGCAGCAAGTACTTCTCACATAGTAACATACGGACCAATGGATCGTATATGTATGAAGAATTTATGCCAACAGATGGTACTGATGTAAAGGTTTGTTTGCCTTTTTGAAGATGTTATGTAATGCATGTTTGGTCATTTAACTATTCGGGCGTGTTGGTTTCTTTAACCCTGTTAATTCTTTTCGGGGGTGCGAGTTTCATAGAAATCATGGATTATTTCACGAGTCTTAATAATTCCTAGTTTAAATAATTAATCACAACCTCACTTTTTGTCAAATATAAGTCCGTTTAATAATTATATATACGTTTATATATTTCTTTCACCAAATAAATGAAAAATGGAAATCGTGCACGCACTTGCACATACTTTTGGGGCACCATTATAGGAAATTTATTAGAACGCATTACCACTTGGTCAAAAATGCACCGAAATGTCTGAAGATTTAGTGCTAAAACTAAATTATTTTCAAGCATTATATATATATATCATTGTGGATATCTCTCAGGGCGGTCATTCTTGATAAAAAATACCTTATGCCCTAGTTGTATTGATGCATTGTAAAAGTATATGTTACCTCGTACCGAAAACGTTCGCTTTACCAATGGCGTTTTGACTTTACCGCTTGTTTCTTGCCAGGTGTACACAGTTGCAGATGATTACGCTCATGCAGAGGCTCGAAAATCTCCTGCTTTGGACGGGAAAGTGGAAAGGGACCATGAGGGCAAAGAAGTTCGTTATCCCGTGATATTGACACCGAGAGAGAAAATTATCGCTAAGAAAGTGGCAAAAGCTGTACGACAACAGATCTGTGGATTTGATTTGCTTCGGGCTAATGGCATGTCCTACGTCTGTGATGTAAACGGGTTTTCGTTTGTAAAGTCTTCTAAGAAGTATTATGATGACTGCAGTCATATCCTAGGCGTACTTATTACACGGAAGATAGCCCCTCGTTTGTGTCTCCCAGCTAACTTACCTCCAGGTACAGATGTTGATACACCATTGGTGCCAACAACGTGTGGAACGATAATGGAACTTCGGTGTGTGATCGCAGTCATTCGTCATGGAGACAGAACACCAAAGCAGAAAATGAAAATGGAAGTTTGTCATGAAAAGTTTTTCTCCTTCTTTACTAAATATGCTGGCGGTTGGGCTCATGAACTAAAAATTAAACGTCCAACTCAATTGCAGGAGGTCTTGGACATCGTGCGATCAATTTTAGATGAGATTGATTCTGGAAAATGTACTGATAATCGTCTTCTGAGAATCAAACCGAAATTTGAACAGCTGAAGTGAGTTTTTCTTCTTTTTTAGCTGAAGTTTAATTATTCTGAATCGAAGTAGTACAGATTAGCTTTGCATATATGGCTTTAAAAATGTTGGACGGAGGTGTTGTAAAGATATACGTACTAGATATCTTGCCATGAATTTTTACTGCAGTTTAAGCAGTCGAACTGGTTCTCTATTAGCGTGATACGGAAGAAGTATCTTTGTCCTTCGTCTAATTTTTAGCTTGGTAGACTATATGCTGAGATTGTGGCTCGTATCTGATTTCATCAGCATCCTCGTGACGGTTCAAGGAACAGGTTCACCTGATACCCTCTGCAATACATGAAAGTCCTACTGTCGCTTAATACCTCACCATGAGTCACTTTATACTACGTAAGAGGATAGAGCAACTACTGTTAAGTCTATACTGAACTAGACGAAAAGTGCACCTACTCATGATTATTGGTGATACTTTAGTATGAGTTTGAAGGCAAGAACTTGCTAATTATTTCTGTGCACGAGGTGTATAAGTGCTGATCTACATACATTTATGGGTTGTTTTTGTTTTGAATAATATATCCTTTTTGGAGTTGGAAGTAGTTTTTTTCTGAGCGTAGATGAAGAGATTCACTGATACAAAATTCAGAAAAGTTTCAGCACTTCGTTCTTTCTGAGGATCCACTTGAAACGGATTTGAAACAAAGTCAGTTGCACTGATGACTCCGACTACTGTTTCTTAGTGTCCCTGAATGAGTTGCTGGTATATTTTTTAGTAAATGAATGTCACCAACCTATTTTTATTTGATCTAATGTAGGAGATAACTACCGGTGGTTCACGCTTGTCTAATATGCTTGTTGCAATCATTGGGTAGAAACTAGACAGTTCTTTCACTGAAGGAAGACTTCAAACTAACTAGGCTATTATTGTTGGTGTTTACGAATTTACATATAATTCTTCACCCTTCGGTAACAAAATACTATCAGTTTTTGATACCATACAAAACACCAATTGTTACTGGTTGTGTAAGACTTTAGAAAAATTCCACCTGCTGCATTTTCAAATAACATTATTAGCAGCCGCCACTTGTTGATAGGCTGTCATTTTTACGTTGTATCACATAGTCTATGAAGATAGTGTATTTACTTCCAGTCGTATAACCACTAGGTTGAAGTGCCTGGCTAAGTGCCTGCTCATGATTCATACTGATTGTTTGATTCATCCCAATTTTACAATGGTTGTTCTCAAACAGCGTCTGCATGGTTGCTTAGCTGGTTGGATGGTATCTATGTTACAATCAAATAAACTACCACTTACTTGTGGAATTTGATAAAGACTACGTCAATATGAAGTATCCATTAGATTGAGTCAGAGAAGGATAGTGTAAAACTGATAAGACAAGTTATGAATTCTTACCTGTTAGTGTAAGACTAAATATTCATCTACCACGACACGTTTGACAGTATTTGTCAATTCTAAAAGGAGCTGGTGTTCTGGTGCTTTTTCCTACTAATTCTTCTCAAGCCAGTGAAAGGTGCCGAATAAGGAGGCTACTAAACATGGATTACACTTGTTCTCACAACCATAGTGAGTGATGATACAGTGATTGATTTAACTGTTGAATAACTCCATTGTTAATATTACTGCATAACACTGTGCGATTAATCAAAATAAAATCTTATCCATAATGGAGTTATACTCTACCACAGTGCACAAGTTCTATACTTATATCAATAAATGTTAATTAGTACTCTATAAATGACAGCAGCACTACTGACTCAGAAGTACTGAAAAAGTCAAATAATCGCGTATATATATATATATATATATATATATATATATATCTTACATCTTACAAACCTAAAATAAAAGTTATTTTATATTTTATTTCCAAAAACTAGCAGGTGTGATATTTCATCCCATGATATTTATTAATTTTGTGAGTAATTGTTATTGCTTCTATTTCTAATTTTCTTCATTAGATACGTTTTAGAAATGTATGGATCGTTTAGTGGAATTAATCGCAAAATTCAGTTAAAATACCAACCACTTGGAATTGGCAAAGGTTCAAAGATTGGTTACTCAAGTAAGTCAATCAGTCATTCATTCAAGGCTCAGTGTTACATTTATAACGGGACAGTCACTCAGTTGATATATCCCTTAATACTTGGTATTTATTTGGGTAATTCTATCTGAAGACGTTGCTTTAGTACTTGACTTTTACCCGGTGGATCTCCGGTTCAAATCTGGCTCCACCTACTGTAGTTTGGTTGACTGAGTAGTACTCACTCAGTAAATGTAACTCACAGCCTTGTACATGGAAATTTGTTCTGGGTAACTCAGTTTTAACCAACTACTGCTCCATTACTCACTTTTCAAGCTGCAAACTGTTTGGAATAATACACATCATTAACTCTTTAGGAATTAAGTGAAACTTTAATTATTAGTAGTTTTCAAGGGTAGTTTCCAAACAATAATTGTTTTAACAAGTTAAAAGTTCGGTTCGTTTTACAATTTCTTTTCTGACAGTCTTTTTTCTAAATTAATTGATTTTGACATGACGCAAAAGAAACTTTTATTGTATCTACGTGGTTGTAATTTCTTAGAACTAAAGTTGTCTTCTTAATTGATCATGTGGCTCAAATTACTTATACTCTATATCAACAAATTTTAGATAGTGCTCCCTTCTATTCTTTTCAGTTCACTAAGCTAGGTAAGACAGTATAAGCTGTACCACTATTCCCAGATGATGTGATTAACTATCGCTAAAATAGTCTAGACTCTAAAAAGTTTGTAAATACTCACCATGTCCACTTAGGTTGAAACTTCGCGCGGCATGCTCAACAGTGACTGTTGCTTTTCAACGATTAAAACATAGAATATGCATCATTTTCATGTGAAAGGTAAGCGTATAAAGTTGAACATAAAGTAAAACTATAAAGTAAATATTTCAGAGAAGCAACCTTGATACATTCTATGTGACTCAGTAAAATCTCTTTCTGCACAAGAAATTTGATTGAAGACCGTAAGCTACACGTTTTAAATTCTGTAGTTTGATGCACGTACTATACTGTTTTCCATCCTGTTCCATTTTGTGTCCTTGTTGCTTTTGTTCCCCTTGTCATTACTACTCTCAATGTTCAGTTATTACTTTCCTATTCGAAATGTGGTGAATACGATGCATCTACTACTCATGTACTTTAGTGACCGGAATAAATTATTCCATCTATTTACTAAATTTATTTCTTCAGAAAATCTTTAGCCTTTTGCTAGTTTCTTTTTCCTATGAACTTTAAATTTAAGAACAGAGCTAGTTGTACTTTTATATTTATTTTTACAGATTTTGTAATTCATATTTTTAAGTGGTGGATGCGAATCTGTTATTTTTAAAAAACGTTTTCTTATGATTTAAAAATGTGATTTAGAATGTGTTATAAGAAGATATTTAAAAAAAATAACATTACAGGTACTTATGGTATAATTTCATGTAGAAAAATAAAAGGTGTGAACAGCGCCAAAGCAATGCAGTTAGTTGATCTTTAGGACGACTGAATCCTTTTTGTATATAAATAAGAGCGAAATAGGGAATTGTTAGTCTTCAACTGTCGCTCTATGTCTCCAGCCATTGCTTCTCAAAATCTCAAGGACTGACTCGACAGTCTACATTTTATATACTGACTTGTTCCAACATTGGAATGACTTATCCGATACTCTACAATCTATATTTATTTTTTCCTGATTCAATTACATATTGTATCTGAACTATATCGTATTCGTATTTCCAGTTTCATCTTATTCGATTGCCCTAAATGTACTTCACTTCCACAAAAATATCTCGATCTTTCTTAAAAGAGTTGAATTCTCTGCCGATAAATCAGTACAAATTTTAACTATATCATTTTTCATGCGCTACATTAATCTTTACCTATGCCATCCTCAACTGTCGATAAGTAAATTGTCGCACTAAGTTTTGGTTTTTTGGTTGCATAACTTCATGTTATAAACAGTAGTTGTGTTGTGCTAGTGTAATAAGTACCGTTGTCTTCATGAATGAATCATAAAAAGTCTCTAATTAACAATTTGAAAAAATCAGATCTCGGAGTAGCAGTGGCTGAATGTTAAGAAACTACTTTCAATCTTTTTTAACTCTCTAGACGTATTGTCGAACACGGAGTCTTGGGTATCTAAATATTCGTACGATTCATGTTCCATAGACTAATGATAAAAAAGTTATATGTGTACTTAAAATGCATGTAGTTTTGTTTCATTACTTTTCCTTAAACTAGTGGTAGTTAAAACTTGTCACCAGTTCTCTCAGTAATATTTTAAAGTCTTCATCTTACTTTTTTTCAGATAGTGTCTTGACTCCATATGATGGGACTGATGGTGCAGATAATTCCCAACCGACTTTGTTGGTTGTTGCAAAATGGGGTGGAGAACTAACAGCTGCGGGAAAACAGCAAGCGGAAACTCTAGGCAAAGCATTTCGTTGTATTTACCCTGGTGGGGATGGTCATTATGGCAAAGATCCTGGTCTTGGATTATTGCGATTGCACAGTACGTATCGGCATGATTTGAAGATATATGCATCTGATGAAGGTCGAGTTCAAATGACAGCAGCAGCTTTCACTAAAGGTTTCCTGGCACTAGAAGGTGAACTACCACCGATACTCGTTCAAATGGTCAAATCAGCTAATACTAATGGTCTTTTAGACAATGATAATGATTGTCGTCATTATCAACAAATGGTAAAACGTCGCATAAACGAAGTGATGTCAAAAGATAGTGATTTCACGGCCGAAGATATTGCTACGCTTGTGCCTACCGGTGCACGTTCCATTGTTAATGCAATGCACTATGTTGACAATCCATATAGAGCTTGTGAACGATTATTTGAACATGTCCGTTTGTTGTCTAATCGTCTCGCTTGGCTCTCTGGGAGTCCTAAAGAAAGGAGTCGAATACATTTATATCAAGGTGAAAGCTGGGACTTGCTACTAAGACGATGGGGGAAGTTGTTGAAAGATTTTCGGTCTCCTGAGGGTGAATATGATCTCTCAAAAATTTCCGACATTTACGACAACATAAAATATGATCTTCAGCACAATTCAGGTATTTTATTGGAGTCCGAAGTACAAGATTTTTTCATGTGTGCGAAGTCACTAGCTGATATTATTGTCCCACAGGTAAGCTGACGTGTGTGTACATATTAACAGTATGTATTAAAAATAAAATGTATTTTATTCACAAATACGCTATAGAAAGGAAGTGATTTTATATAGGCAAATTTCATTCTATTTTCGTTTTGAGATTCTATAGTCAGTGATTAATTTCTGACTTTGAGGGAGAAATGAGTGAAGTGAGCTTAAACAGATGTCATCCAATCAACTAATCAATATGAATGTACATACTGCCACAGTGTCCAAGTTTTATAAGTATTTTAGTTTGAGCTATCAAGGCAACTGGATTGAGTAATCTTGAATGTCATATTGTATCTATCATGTTTATCGATACTCATTTGTTGTCACAGTTCTTTATTTTTTTTTTATCCTTCACGTTCCCCAGTGGAACATAGGGTTTCAAACTAGTGGCTTGAAGTTTCTGTAGCAGTGTTTATTTTTACAGGATGGGGTTGCTAGCCTCATGCCCAACCTTTCCTTTTCACCAGCATTATTTCTGGCTTAGCGAGGTAAAGGAGTGTGTCGGCCGGGGTTCGAACCCCGGACCATGTGCATGGTCGGCGAGCATCCTTACCCTTATGCCACCGATCCACACAGTTCTTTATGCCATGCAAATATGATATGTCATCGTATTATATGTTAATCTTACATGAAAAGAGGTTTTAACTGACTCTCATTTATCATTTTCCTTGGTAAAGTTTCATGCCTGAGTTATATATATAGCTGAGTTTTTCGGTACCTATATAAACAAGTACTCTGGTTGAGAAATTGTTTTTCTCCATCACTTAAGGTGGTGTAGCTTTGACAAGAATGATTCGCTCTCTTTAGTTTAGTAATAATTAGAGAAATATTTACGTTAGTTAATGCTTATAGCTCCTTGTTTCTCTATACAGGAGTATGGTATAACCAAGGAAGAGAAACTTGTAATTGGTCAACGTATTTGTACTCCACTTATGCGAAAAATCCTCTCAGATGCACGTTATACGGACGTCGATGAATGTACACGATTGCATGCTGGGTGAGTGTTGTATTTATTTTCTGTTATCTCTCACAAAGAATTCTATCATTATATATAATCTGTGTACACTTTTCTTTTTTACCATGGAGATAAATAAATGTGGCGGCTGACTTCTCCACACAACACAATTCTACATTTGTACTACTTTGCAGTGTGTTTGAAAATAGGTCACACGCCTAGTCCCCTAATTCACACGATATTGGTGCACAGATTTTAATATCTACCAAAAAGTTTATGTTATTGTGTGGTATGTTTAAAAAAAATTTGTACTTTGTAATTTATGGATAATAATGACCTACAGAGTGTAGTTTGTTTTAATGCATGCTGTTTTTTTTTCCAAAGTATATGATTGCACAACTGAAAATAATTACTTGTATAATGCTGTAATAATTGCTTATGTTATGAATATCTAAAATATTTTCTCATAAAGCATTGTGATTAGCAGTATTAGATGTAAGTTTTGTGGCTTAGCTACTAGACCATCGGTCACATATTCAAGGGGGAGATTAAATGAATTTGAGATGTAATCATGATAAGAAAGGTGAAATGAGGTGATCAGAATGTTTGAACACAGATTAAGTCTCTAAAACTGGGGATAATTTAATACTTAGCACACTCACTTCGTTTCTCTTCAATGTTCACAATAAAATGTCATGTGTCCACCATACAGATAATTAGTGCAGTTTAACTCGTTTTTCTTCGCTGTTGTACACAGCTGCTAATCCATCATTTGTGTTTTGCAACTTCTTATCTGTTAACTTCTCTGTAAGATAGTTGCACAATGATTTATTCGTACGACTAATTTTTAGTTCATATATATATTGTTAGGTGGTTGAAGGCAGTTGGCATGAAACCTTGAACCTAGATAACGCGCCTGTTGACAGCCGTCAATGGGGTGTATCAGCAGTCTGAAAGGTACTCATGTCCCCCTTCTGAGATTCGAACCCGAGTCACCCAGTGTTGCAGTCATAGTCTTTACTGCTGAACTATTCAAGCAACATTGCAAACTTGACTGAGAGAATTTTGTCTTCAGCAAACTAAGGACTGGCCGCATGACATCAGTTACTACCTAGTTGTCCAATCAAAGTTTACCTATATTTATATCATTATTTTGGCATTTCTCGGCATTTGGTTACTACGGTTATTTACTTCAGAACGATAACTTCAGATTTTCATCTCATATGCACGGTAGTGGCGTGTTTCATCTTGAAGTCATAACAATATTTTGTGACTCTCAATTTTATTTCAATTTTTCCTCCTCAAATTGGTAATGATAAATTTTCCATTTATAAAGCATCTTATGTTTTGCTCACCGAGTGGATTAATGAGAAGTTCCTGCAGAACTGTTACACTACATAACTATTGTCATTTCTCATACATATTTTGTAGTCTTGGACTGCATAAACTTGTAGTTTTTAGTTAGCTAGGGAAACAGTTAGGTTTTGAAATAATAGACAAGATTTTGTAGTTCAGGTGGAGGATTTGCAATTAATAGTGTTCTCTGAGCTGGTTGGTTTAGTTGCGGAGCTTTCGTCACCCTTCTGGACAACATCTTCAGAAGGACGAGGAAAGCTCCGCAACTAAACCAACCAGCTCAGAGAACACTATTAGTTGTAAAACAGTTAGGTTCTTGTTGTATTCAAACTTGTCTGCGTAATTCAATAGCACATGGTTTCCTTTTGCATCTGTGAATTTCCACCACTGTTTATGTACTGGAAACTGGGGAAGTTAAACTATAGCGCCTCAACCAAACGACCAGATCAATAACCTGGAATCGACCAGTTGTGCTGAAAAAAGAAATATGACCGGGAAGAGAGAAATCAACTTTAGTATCAATAATAAATACTGTTCGAAATTTTCGAGATAAATGTTTCCTTTAACTGTCTTAAAATAAACGCTAACCAACAATCCTTAACTTTACTTTAACTGTGATCTATCGTAAACCTAATCTAATACTGTGGTAATCTTTATCTAGATGGTTAAACGCAATCAGTAAGAAGCCCTGTAAATGGATTTCGTGCTAGTCGGCACTCGTCAGCAAGGTGTATCTGCAACTTTGGAGCAACCAATGTCCCCTCTAAGATCCTGATTCCGTGTCACTCAGTGTTAAAGTCTGACTAAGTTCAGGGCTTCCTGCCGATTTCGTTTAACCGTCTAACGATTCAGGGTCCACCGTGATGTCTAGTCACCTAATTTGGTGATCACATTGCAAACTGAACTGATAGAATTCAGTCTGCACCAGCAACAAGGACCAGATGCATGGCATTTGTTGCTCCCTGGTGACCAATCGATGTAATTCTAGTCTACTGTTAACTCTAGTCTAGGCTTAATTCTCGCTCCTCACCTTAGACAATAATCATTTCGATGAATGTCAATACTCTTATGAGAACCTGGAAAGTGTTTTTCTCGCAAAATTTTTTTGAGGAACATTATTAATGCTAATATTCATATACTTTTGCTTATTTTTTTATATGTTTTTATTTATCTGATTTCACTGACTTGCTCTAATTAGTCGCTTCGTGGCTACCGGTACACTCGTTCGGTTGGGGTCTAATAGTTTTGCGTCTCTGAAACTCTTATTAGCCTTCTGGCAAGATACCCAAACGCATGTAGAAATAAAATACTGGTAGCCAAGTGTGAGAACTTTATCAGACTTTTTGATGAAAATATTGCTTTTAATTAAAAATGGGGTGTACACTAGATGGAAATATGAGTAAATTCACTATATCTTGCCTTTTCCTAATTTTGTTCCCTATGCGTCATTATTCTTCTGTATTCAATTTTCTCCTCATGTAAGTCAACACTTTTCTTAGTAGGATTCTTAAAACCTCTATGTCTCAGTGTCGTGCCTTTACTTTTCCCATTACCGAATATGGATATTTCACTATTCAAGTGAAAGTTTCTGCTTAAACTAAATATTTGCTGCAATTTAGTGTAGATATTTCTTCTCTTAGTAGCTAATCTAGGGAATTAGGAAATTCACTTTGTGTGGAATAAATCAGAAACTACAAATATCCTAGTTATTAGTTTTCTAATCGTAACCCTAGCCTCTAAAAACTAACTTCACAAATCTTAATGTGTAAACACTTCTACTTAAGCCGTAAATTCTATTTTTAAGACATATGTAATTAAAACAATTAGTCCCTTTTATAAATTTGAATAAGGCATTAAGAAGACAAATTTCGCGAGATGATATCATTTCGTAGTTTCTTTACAACCGCTTTAAAACCAAACATGGTTAACAATAATAAAATAAAGTTCATGGCAATTACTCAGTTAAATAAAAAAACTACATACTAATGACCAATCATATTTAGATAGGTCATGTTGTCCATGGTAGGCGAAGATTGAAGTCTGTTGTTTTTTGTACACACAGTTTGGGATATATGTGATAACTACAAAGGGCTTCCATCACCTTCAATAACCTTGAATTAGAGTTATGTGAAATAATTGTGAAACAGTCATTAGTATTGACTTTGTGACCTGACATTAATAAGTGTTTTGCAATGGATGATGCTGGATTTCTATTCAGATTAATCGCGTTGGGATTTTCTATATGATTTAGTAGCCATTTTGGAACATGTACTTTCCGACGACATTGGAACATACTGTTGGTTCTACCCATATAGGTGTCACCGCAGCTGCAGGTGAACTTGTAGATACAGTTTGAAGTAGAGTCCATAGAATTTCGTCCTTTAATCGTAGGTACAGGGATCGAAAATGTTCGGCAAATGAGAAAAAGAGATGCGGCATAGAATGTGCGTTTGATGGCTGACCGAAGTCTTGGAGCTGTCATCTGCATAATCTGGTCGCCCTTGAATGGTAGGTTAATAAAAATAGCTTTCTTTGGTACCGAAGCTGTCTTTTAGAGATGTGGTTTTCCTTTACTGTAACAAGTGATAAAGTTCCCCGGATAACCATTAGCTAATAAAACTGAATGTATATGTCGAAACTCATCCATCAATGTGTCACTCGTGCATATTTTTCGGGCCCTTGAGAACAAACATATTTCACTAGGGCACGTTCCTATCCAGTATAAACGTTCCCTAGTGAAAGGTTTGTTTTCAAGGGCCCGAAAAATATGCACGAGTGACACATTGATGGATGAGTTTTGACATATACATTCAGTTTTATTGTATTAAACTGTCAACTTTTAATTGTACATCTCATCTGATGCTTTGATAGTTGTATCTAGCGTATCTTTTCCGAGAAAACCAAGCCAAATAAAATTAACCTATCTTCTTGCCAGTATTACAAACAAACGCTCCCTTGCACATTGGTTACTCCAGGGTTCGCTCCCATAGGATTGTTTTAATAATAATAATGCACTTTATTCAAATAACAGTACTTATAATACAGAATGGAATTCTCAGAATCTGTCTTAATATTGCATCTAATTTACTTAAAATATCAATAAAATTAACCGCAAGAATTTGTCCACATTTACGGTATGAATTCAAAAGTATTCGAAGTACAAAGTGAGAATATGATAATAATAACAGTGGGTTTATTTCAAACAGTATTTTCGATTCATTTGGAAATTTTTATTGAATCTAATGTTCTGTTGATATACTGTGGTGAGGGGAAAGACAAAAATATAACAGTTATTACAGAGCTTAAATGATGTTTCCACTTATGAGAAAATAAACAAAAAAAATTAAGAGGACTATAAATATAAGAAAGATAACAATAGAGCTTGGTGGAATAAGAATGGAGAAAATGGTTTATTTACTAGTGCAAAGAAAGTTAGTTAGTTCGTCCCTGAGACTATTTTCATCACTTGCCAAACATGGCATAGTAGAATTTTTATACTTAGACGTACGTGCATCAAGTCTTTTGAAATTACTTCTTGTTTTACCTGAGTAGACACAAGGTGAAAGCTGCGGGTGCTGCGGTGGATGCTCAGAGTCTGACAAAATTCCTTTAGCAAATTTGTTGCATGAAATCAAGTGCCTATCAATGACTATGTCAACGATATGGCTCCATAGGATACCACTCGCCCTACTAACAATTTTCAGAGTTCTACGAAGTATGACACTTTTTTAGGCAATCCAGGAAAGAATAAGGGTGAACAGTAAAGAAGAATAGGTAAGATGCACGAGTTAACAAACTGTAAGAGGAGGAGTTGAGTTATGACTGAGTGCCTTAACTTCTTAATGTAAAAAGTCAGACGAAATATTTTTTTAGAAATCGCTAAGACATGGGAAGACCAGGATAGATCAGAAGAAAGAATTAATCCAAGATACTTAACATCAGACTTTATTCCTATATCGCATTTATCAATTTTGCAAGGGTCATATGAATTAACAGCTTCATTTAAATCTCTTTTACATAGGAAAATGAAATTAACAGTCGGACATTTGGAAGGATTTAGTTTAAGACCATTAGAGGAAGACCATTTGCTGACTCCTGATAGAAAGCTGTTCATCTTAGTACAGTCTATCTGGGAGTTAACATGCACTGAAATAGTTAGATCGTCCGCACACTTAATTTGATTGGCTACGGGATTTTGTTATGAGCTGTCATCGGTTAGAGAACCATTGGAAAAGTTTGGAGTAGTGGACAGTTGTTTCGTCCAGTAATTTTTATTTACAAGTAATCTTAACTCACTTTACTAGTTAAATTTCTATCACTAAAATAATCAAATTTACTTGACACATTTTGGTTTAACACATTATAGGTAGATTGTCAGGAAACCTAGGTCCACGGATTCCTGTCGGTTGTTAATGGAAATAAAACGCTTAGTCCGACGAAGAGGCTCTTTCCGGCGAATCCACTTACTTTAGCTGTAGAATCTCATTTATATATATATATATATATTTACATGAAAGAGGTTAGTAACCAGAATGATGAGTTGTCACAAATCATAATTGTTAATACTAGTCAATGTGTAAGATGAGTTGAATAAGTGTATTACGATTGCGTAATAAGATGAGTGATTTGATGAATAAGTTGTACTTAGGATGCACATAGAAACGAAGAGAAATATGGAATTATACAATAGTTCTAAAGGTGCCTTTCTATTTTTAAACCTTAGTCATGTTTGAAACGAATAGAAATCTTGTAACTCTTTGAATTTTCACTACCCAGTCTTTCGCTTGTTGTCAAAGCCTTTTTTCCTATGCACGTAGTACTCTAGCTGCACTTCTCAGTTTACTACTCTGAAATGGTTTTTACATCGCAATCACTTGCACAGTGTCAATTTTTTCATCACACTTTAATTCACTGTTATTTCAACTTTGAGTAGTGAATCTGTGTAACATAATTCAATAATTTCCAGTTTCTGTTCTGATTTAATGTTGTTAGTCAGTTACACTTTTTTTTGTATTCTTGGTGCTTTATTTAAGAATACCATCCTCAGTGTGTAGTAAAAGTTTATCCCACCTTGATATTTATCTTTATGACCAGGGTTGAATTAATAAATCGATTCACCGTTCATTGAATAGGTTATATTTATTTAAGCTTTTATATCCCACTTAATTCTTAGTGCTACATGGCTTTTATTGTTCAACTTTGCCAACTTTTACTATTTTTAGTATTATTATTATTATTGTTACTAACTACATAATTTAGAACATTTACCACTGACACCTACAAAACACCACCATTTCTAAATGTTACATAACATTTTAAACTATGTGTCCTTTTTTTTTAACTGTCTGTAGTATTTGATGAATAGCATTCAGCTGACTGACTGCCTTGTCCGTAATCGATTTCATCTGGCTTAGTTATGTTTCTCTTTTTGAAGAAATGAATAACCAAAGGTTTTTGCACAGAATTTCATCTTGTTGAGATTGATCATATGATGACTAGACTTTTTATGTTTTTCGGGGGTCACATTTTGTTGTATCGTCTTTTTAAATTTTATTTCGATGGTTGGAAACTATAGTTTTAGTTCTTGTAAGTATTTCATACTTTCATGAATTATATGTATATATATATATATGCTGGTTGATTATGTTGACAGTGAGTATATCTAGAATAGCGTATCATGAAGGTGTATATGAACACTGAGTATACAATATTTTCTAATTACTGTTATTTAATTTACCTTACTCTTGCATTTTGATTTTTGGCTGAAGTATGAAGAGATAATTTGTATTGTAAAGTAGATACTGGTTTTGTTTAAGTGCTTGTGCTACTTGTAATAAACCTCCATGTTTAATGATATGCATCATATTGCCGCGAGTTTAAAAATTATGACAAAGCTAATCTCGTAAAAAAATGGCCACATATATGTCTAATTCCGATTAAACTTCTTGAATGTTTTTACTCAATAAAATAAGTATTTTTTTAAAAATTTTTGTTTCTCCTTGTGTTGTGCACCGACAATTAATTATTAGTCAGAGATAAATTCTGTTCATGTAATATTTCAATGACTGAATTTGGAACGAAAACCTGGGTTACAACATGGTTCGAAGCTGCCTGCTGGGTGCTCCGATACCCAACTGAAAAACTACAATGCATCATACTAACTGGATGCATAGGTCTATTTCTTGAGATATGTTAAAGAACTGGTCATCGTTTAGATTTTGGAGCTCACTCAGTAAGAAACAATTTCAGTCATTTCAAGCCCGTTGGTTGTTGCATCCTGGACTTTCGCTTTAAATCCAGCTATTACCGAAATTTAAATTCTTTTTGGAACTTTATCATATTTAGTTAAATATGGTGAAGATGGATCTTGAAAACTTACTTCAAACTTTCAACAATGCCCACCGAAGCATCAACTTTACTCTTAAAGCTAAATCCGACGGCATGTTCCACTTCCTCAACGTCCATCTGACAAGAAACGCCAGCAACTCTCTGAAAAGGTTCATATACAAAAAGCCCACATGGAATGGACAATTCATCAACTTTCAAAGCTGTGTGCATCTAAGCAGTAAGAGGAACCTTAATTACGCTGTTTCCTCAAGGATTTGGAAGATATGCAGCGAAGAAGTGATTGATGAAGAACTGTGTAATCTCCGAGGAACCCTGATGGAAAACGGTTTCCCGCCCAGGTTCATAGACAAGAACCTCAAATCAAAGAAGACTTCCGTATCAGTCCAATCCGTCCAGAAGAAGATACTTCTGCTTAATCTAGAATTCAAAGGTGACATTGAAGCAGAAATCCTTCGTAAATGCCTCTGCAAATCTCTAAGGAAAACATATTTCGCCGCGAGCCTACGACTAACGTTTTCCTGCAAGAAACTGTCCAGCCAGAACGCGAAAGACAAGCTGTTTACTTGCTCTTGTGGAGCTGAGTACATCGGCCATACCATGCGTCAACTTGGAAAACGCACTCGCGAACACTATCCAGCCTGGCTAGCGAAAGGAGAACGAAAACGTGCATACATTTCACTGACAAAACATCTAGTCAATTCAGGACATTCAGCACCATTCGAAAAATCCTCCAAAATAATATAGAAGATTAGATCAAACCTATCCAAGGGAGTAAAATTAAGACTTCTGAGCATAGCCGAGGCACTACCTATCCAAAAGCTCGAACCGACGCTATGCATCCAAAAGAAATACGTCCAACCCTTGTCCCTACCATGGCCATCATAAAAAGGTAATTCTTCTAATAGTGACTATCCCATTGCCTTTCTTATCCAAACTTCCTGTTTATTCCTGTTATTTTTAAGTTTTTCTTAATCCCTATTTACACTACCATATTTTCATATCCGAACTTCCTGTCTATTTTGTTATTTTATTATTTCTACATATTTAATCCCTAACTGTATGAACAATTATTCGTCACATTAGTTATGATCCCACTAGATTTTTTATCCTAACATCCCGTCTATTGTTGTTATTTCTACATTTCTAACCCCTAATTGCACAATATGTCAGTCATCTCAGTAATTATGATGCTACTTTGTTTGAGTTTAATCCGTCCCCCTGTTTATTATGGCATTTTAATTCTTAATTGTAATTTTGTTAATTTGACCCTTGACCGGAAATTATTCTGGAACTTTCTCACCCATTTGTTATAAATACACGAATGTACAGCCTAGTTGATGACTTCGTCGAAAAGAAAATTTTCTTCGCTGCAACCGTCTTTTTAAAATATAAATCTATGGTAAACTAAATAAATTATTTCATTCACAACAGATTGATTAATAAACAAATAATGTATGAATGAGTATGAATTAATTGTGATGTGCATATAAACACACTCAGATGTGTTGTGTATTTCCAGTTTTAAACAAACTAACTTATTCAGATATATTTCCTATCTTTCGGTATAAATGGTAATGAAGTTAACTTTTTCCTATACTACATGGCATAATTGCTTATCAAATTCAAATCCTCTCTACTCTGTATTGTGCTTGGAGTTTGTCAGCTGGCTGCTACTTATAATCCCATTGGTTCATAAGCACTTACACCATGTTTCATGAATTGGTTCACCTGCATGATTCAATTTCCGCCCAACTTGTTCTTTGTTTCTTTGCTAAGTCACTTCCATTTTTAAATATTAAGGCATCTTATTTCATTTTTTACTTTTTACTTCGTGTATCTATTTGTAGCCATCGCCCAAATCACGGTGAACCTTGTCCTGATTGGTGGGTCTGTTTGTGTAATCAGTTTATAAGTTGTTTTTGTTTACATTTTTCTTCCAAGCTACCTAGCTTTACAATAGCATGTAATTGATCTGTCAGTATATTTTGTGGAGGTAATATCGTAATTTTAGTTGCTTAACGTGTCCTATTAAAATTTCCTACTTATTTCGGTAAGGGAAAAATTGATAACCTTCTACTTATCCAAGCACAAGTATACGTATAGTCTTGTCGCACACTAATCGAACAGCCCCAATCTGTTTAAAAAAATTGCATAAAGAAAAATAAATAAATATTTATATATATGTGTGTATACTTCGTTACCTATCTGTTGTGTATTTGCATGTATAATTTCTTATGATTCTATTCTTTAAAGCTGTTTCGATTGTTTTATTCAGTGAGATTTTCGTGGTACATGGTTGACAGTGTTATTTGATTGTGGCGGGAATGCGTTGAATGTTACGTGTCTCTTTGTCGAAACTGAATGTATCCCCAGTATTTTGTAAATTTCCCTACTAGTCGAAGAGATGATATTACTGTCACTTCCACTCTTTATCGCATGTTGTTTTAATCAAAGATTAATATGGATTTTACTTGTCACAGACTACATTCTTCGCTTCAGAATACCTCAGCAATGCCTAAATGCACCCTATAATAAATAAATCTTGTATTAAGCTAACTCCTTAAAAATAAAAGCTTAGTTTAATTTATTTCTACTGGTACAATATGTCAGTAATGCCGCCTAGTCAGGCTTTATTTTAAACTTGTTTAACTCAAACCAATTTATGATCTGCATGTTGGATAAAAGCTAGCAATACTATTTTGCTCTCTAAATTTCGATAAACTGTACAGTAACTTTAAGTTAATAAGCAGTTTTCACTTACTTGCCTCTACTATTCTCTCTGAATTACGTAGTTTGTTATTCATATCGTGCTTTTCCCAAAATACTTTTCTTTTCTAAACAAATTCATAAGTAAGCCATGTGGGTGTCAGTTTTTCTGATGAATTCGGAAGGTTAAGCAGTCGGAAATTGTGTATACCATTAGGTGACAGGACTAATCTACTGCAATGCAGGCATCCAGTTCTCAACTGATAACTTTTAACTTTAGGTTTGTACCGAATAATCAGGTATGTAGCTATGAGATTGATCAGTCTCGTCATGTACTGATATCAACTTGTTGAATTGTTCATACAGTCGCCATAATTTCCAAAAGAACTTGTAAATTTAAAATGTGAAATTTAGATCATGACATTGTTCCAGTTGGTAAATTATGTGAGTTTAGTTATATTGGTTTCTTTAGTTTCCTGGTTATCCTCTTATGTTTGCGAGCCTTAAACACAACCGTATGTTCATTAAAATTTATTGTATGGCTATATTAGTCATAGTCGGATACTGCTTTTATATGCAGAAACATTTCAAACCTTCAGTCAGGTACTCTACACAGTGAAGTTGTGGGCATGGTTAAATTTGTTGTCTTTCGCTGAATAAGTCAAATTCTCAATTTTCCCAAAACAAACTGTTGATCTGGTTTTGTTGTCTTGTGTTATTTTCTTTGGCTTTCGAAATTATTTATTGTTGCTTTCTTGTCGCAATCAGTTCGACGCGCATTTAACTAAAGTTTTCCTGGTTAACAGGGAGTTAATATATATTTAATAACTATTGAATTATTTTTGTTTTAAAGTGTAACAATGTTATATGCCTTAATTTTCTACGATTAATCATATGTCGATTATTAAACTACCTATAAATTTGCGATGTAATGCATTTTGTGTTTTGTTGTTACTGAAATAAGGAATGCCACTATGCTGGTTTATTCTGCATCTTCTTGAGAATGTTTTACTACTGGCTCTTCGTAAATCTTTGATAATTACAGAAGAATAAATTGTTGATACTTGTAACATTTTCTCCTATCAGATAGAGAAACATTCATAATAACATAGCTATGGAACTTACGTTCTAGTTTCCTTGGAGGTTTTGTAGTTTGTGTTATTACTCAGTTAGCTAAAGCAAAAATCACACGGACTGGATTTTGATCTCGAAACGTACTGATTAAATGTGATGGTTTTCAAATTATTGCACTTGCATTGATTGCTCCTAATTAGTGAAGTAAACCATCCGCGGTAGTCACCTTTCCTAGAAGTTGGTGTTTCAGAAAGGGAACTATTTTGAGAGATTGTATACTTAGTAATATTTCTTAAAAGAATTAACAGTTGCTTTGTTTTCAGAATACCTTTGCGAATATGAATGATATGAAAAGGAATACAGGTGGCTTTTTATTACATTACCTCTGACTGGAAATAGCTCTTGAAACTTCTTACCCCTTTTGTAATAAATTCTCGAATATGCAGCTTAAGTTGATGATTTCGTCAAAAAGAAAAATATTTCTTCGTGACAACCATGTTTTCTTTTTTTTTTACTGCTTGTTGAGATTCTCCATGGCAGTCTGCATTTCATGCTATTTTCATCTAGCTGATCTCCGTAGTGCCGTAATTATTCTTATCGGAAAAGATTCTTATATAGACATAATCATTAAACTTTAAAATTCTTGTGTGATAACTTTCTGTGGTGTAAGTATGGTAAATTTCACTTGAATAACTGCTTGTTTATTTTGTGTAAATGGGTAAAACTAATGTCAACTAGGTGTTCATTTTCTGTAATTCACTCCGATTGGTTGTGTATAATAACTTGATTTTCAATAGTTTTGTAATCGGCCATTAAAAGCAATCCTTATTCTGAAGATATTAACAAAACAATTATGTAAATTTACTCACTATGTGTTTATACTTTTTGAATAAGACATGTTAAAAAGGATACATAAGAAATAACCTCTCTTTTACTGTGTGTATATCAAATAAGAAAAGGATATACTTGTATCTTTGGATCCTGTTTTGCAGTGTTAATTATGTAACCCTATTATTTACTCTTTGTATCTAGTTATTCTACACATTAGGCGTTGGCAGTCATAGAGATAAATATACCTTTGTGTTAAATGAGTAGTTAAAATAGATAGATTACCAATGTTCGTATATAATTTCATCTATATTTCTCTTCTCAGTTTAAATCTTATATACAAGTATTGAAGACTGCAAAAGAAAGTGAATAAGCCATGTTTATACAATGCATAGTAGAAATATAAGTCAAACTTTTTGTCTAAGTTGAAAGTCCGGTCAAAGCATCAATGAAGACAATCTGTTAAAGTTCTTAGGTTCAAAATGTAATTCTTGTTTTTCTGCACAGCTGTAAAGCTTCTGTAAATTTCGCACAGTTATTTTAGTTGACAGCATAACATAAAATTTTGCTTTTGGCTGCTAAGACTTCAATTTTACTGTAATGTGCCAGCTAACTAAACTAAAAGTGGTGAATCTTTGGTGAGTTTTTACACCTATGTGGATGTTTTTTGTTTCACGTCAGTATTCTTTCTCTCTCTCTCTCTCTTTATCCTAACATGTTTTCTACCTTTTTCTTGGATTTTCCCATTTTCTTTGAATTAGTTATTCAAAAGGAGTTGCTTCCCCAGAACGATTCGTTAGAAGCCGATTATACTTCACTAGTGAAAGTCATATTCATTCATTACTCACGTGTTTAAGATATGGTGACTTAGCGGATGTTTTAACAGATGAACAATGGAGACGTGCTATGGATTATGTATCATCTGTTTCTGAAATCAATTACCTTGCTCAAATTGTGATTATGATTTATGAAGATCCTACAGTGGTTAGTTTTAATTTAAACAATGTCCAATTTCGCTTAATTGTTTTAACTTCTTATTTTTTATTGTAAATCATGCATTTGCTGACAATACTTTTTTTTGTTTTGAAAAGACTTGTGTTTTGTATATTCAACAGTGATATCACAGTTTCTGTTAAAATAGCATTCACCCACATTAAACACGGATACTTTGCAAATAAGAATATTATGTAGAATTTCAGAGGTTTGTAGTCATTTTATTCTGAGGTGATTAGTGCATTGAGAATAATAAGTTTAAGCATAAACTAAGACTACCGATTAGGATCAGAGAAATAAGTTGACCTGTTCGCTTATTCTGTCTATATTCTCAGGGTGCACTGCTGGCTTTCAACAGAATGACAACTAGTTTCATGCATGAATCATATTAATACGAATAGAATAAAATTACTTTATAATTCTGAATGTGTCTTCCTGTGTATGCCACACTTTATTCAGCAGAATTATTTGGATTTTACTAACCATCAAAATATACAGTCGAATAGCACATGAATGAATGTGAACTTGTTTTAAAAGCCAATCGTCGATAAATATGCCTACCAGTGGAATAAATATAATTAGTCGTCATATGTACGCAATTTTTTATCTGCATTTTTGTAATATTCATATTTCTCTCACACCAATGGATATAACCCATCCCCTGGAAACTTGAATTATATTGGTTATAAATACACAAATATGTCATTTAATCATCTGTTCACATCTTATCTCATGTTCTTAATGACTGTACAGTTAATATTCAATTAAATGGCAGTCAAAACTAACAGACTATTATTCCATATTATACTCGTAGCCCAATACAATTTCTGATATAATTTCTATTCACTGAAAACAATCGTTCGCTTCTTGTTCTTTATTTTTATCTGTTTTGTCTCATTAGAGTTTGTCAGGTAAGTAATAAGTCTACCCCTTCTCCTATTTATCGCGTTTGATGTGGTTAAAATATGCAAAGCTTCATAATGTCAGCCTTCCTCTGTTTGATTGAAAGCCCTTTCTTAGCGTTTCTACATTGTCAAAATCAATTATATAGCTGCTTTCTACGGTAAGCATTACTATGGCTTAACCTTTTTTCCTGACTCTTTAGTTGTACTTCATTCCTAGACGGATACTGGGTATTGTCATCGTTCATTCACTCTGACCTTCATCTACCTACTACTTTCCCATACAGCAAGCCTAAAATTTGCACCATTTTATCCTATAGATACTTTTGTAAGAAATATGTCTTTGTTACTAACTAAAGTTTTCTCTGGAGAATCAGAGGCCTTGAAACCGATTTCAACACCATATGTAGCAAATACTCTGAAGCTTTTCTACTATGTCTTTTCAATACGGAGTAGCCGTCGTCAACATACAAGAGTTTTCAATATTCTTCATGTCATCTCTGTTGGAAATGTGTGTTTCGGAACATGTTTAGATCACCATTCTCAATTAAAATTTATCTTACATTTATTTTGTTTACCATTTGGCTATATATTTTGATAGTAATAAAATCCGAGTAATTCTACTGAAGAATGTGTGGCATACAAAACGAAATGTTCAGAAGAATTTTGTTTTAATTTTCGAAACACAGGTCAAAACACTTTCATACGTCAAATCTGTAGATTCATTTATCTGAAAATAGCATAAAGCATTACTCTAATCCAAAATGGATCCATTCTGTTAAGGCAATGTATATTTTTGGTTGGTTCAAGGTGCGAGTTTATTCGGTGGTCGTTAAATTATCATATAAACGACAATTGTGCGTCGGTGGCACAGTGGTTAGGATGCTCGCCGACCATGCACATGGTCCGGGGTTCGAACCCCGGCCGACGCACTCCTTTACCTCGCTAAGCCAGTAGTGAGACTGGTGAAGAGGAAAGGCTGGGCATGAGGCTAGCAACCTCATCCTGTAAAAATTAACACTGCTACAGAAACTTCAAGCCTCTAGCTTGGAGCCCTATGTTCCACTGGGAACGGGAAGGAAAAAAAATAACTAAATGACAATAAATATTGACACGGAACAAATTGTGTATAGAATATTGCATTGCCTTTTTAGTTTACATTAGAAAGATTCTTGAAGCAGCAGTCATTGATAATGTCTCTGTCACTGCTAGTATCGTTCTGACACTAGACATCATGTATTGTTCAAGCACTTTAACACTATCAAGAATAATGTTTTCATCGCAATCAGGTAGGTAAAAGTTAATAATTTCTAGAAAATGTTTGTCTGTCTGTCTGTTTTCAACATAGAACTTTGCACCGATGTGCAGCAGTTCAAGTCGCCACACTCCATGTAGCACACAAAGTAAGAGAAGGAAGTAGAAGAAATGCAAAATAGAGACAGTAAACAGGGATATGGGACAAAAGGAATAGTAATAACGAAGAACAATGTAGTTTTATTGGAAATTATAAGTCACAAGGAGTGGATGCATCTTCGCCATCCATTGAGAATGATTTTGAGCAATATCACCGATTGTCTCCAGCCATAGGTTTTTACCGTCCCGAGGACCCCAACGAGGAAGTGTACACCTTCCTACGTGACTTAAACCAACTGTCATAGATTTCACTGACTGGTGCCATGTTTTCGTTTGACCACCGCTAGCTCTTTTTCAGCCTGACCCTATGTCAGCTAACATTGCCCGTCGAGGAAGGCGATGGCTAGGCATACGTAACACATGTCCTAACCATCTCAGTCGATGTAGCTTCACAGGCTCGTCGATTGATTTCCCCTCATTACCTAGCACTCGATAGAGGCCTAACCTCAATATTGCTCACCTTATTATACCACTTAACACGGGGGAGATAGAACGCAGGCACCTATGATCGAAGGCAGCTAATCTTTTGATGTCTTCTGCTCTCAATGGCCAGGTCTCACAGCCATAAAGGAGGACGTAGCGGACTGATGAGCAGTACACACGCCCTTTGGTTGATAGCCAGCCGGATATCACGTCTACGCCAGAGACGGCGTAAACTGGCCTAAACTGCCTTCTTAATCCGTGCAGAGATTTCATCAGCGATCAACCCAATGGCATAGGTTGATGTAACTTCCCGAATAAGTGAATTGGTCAACGTGCTCTACCACTTCACTCCCTATTTCTAAGCTAGGAGTCAATGTAGTCTAGTCCTATAACATCATCTTACATTTGGCAGGAGCGAATTGCATGCCAAACATTCGAAGATTGCAGCTCAAGGTGTTCAGAAGACTCTGCATTTTGTCAGCGTCTTCACCTAGGAGGCAGGACTGTATCATCTGCATATTCTAAATCAACGAGATTATTCCCTGGTAACAAGTCAATCCTTGAGTCTCTGAAGTTAGTTAAGGTTAATCACATTAGTACATCTATGATGAAATTGAATAGAGATGGGGATAGTGGGCTTCCTTGACGGACACCGCTAGTTGTCACCACTTCAGATGACAACTCTCCGTAAGCTCTCACTTGGCTGACTGCATGAGTTTGAGTGGAGTGCCTTGATCAATGCAATGTATTTTCTCAGGATTCCTTTCACAGCCAAACATCTGCGGAGTACCTCTTGGAATCGAATGCCGCTTTTGCGGTCAAGAAATATAACGATTGTTGGACCCCGGTGGGTACGCCTTTGTCCAACAATCTGTCGAAGGGTGAAGATATAATCAGTACACCCTCTTCCTGGTCTAAAGCCTGCCTGGTTTTCTCGTGTTTGTGCCTCCCGAGCACCACTTAGTCTACGCAATATTATTGAGCCTAGGACTTAAGATACTATATTAATCAAGCTAATCCCTCTGTGATTATCACAGGAAGACTTGTCTCCCTTCTTGTGTATGGGGATAATCAGTGACTTACACCAACCCGACGGGACTTCCTTTGATTCCCAGACTCTGCCTAGTACCTCAGTTAACGCAGACAGTAAACTGTCTCCACCGTACTTAAATACTTCTGGAGTCATTCCATCAGGTCCTGCTGCTTTCCCTTGTTTCAGTAACCTCAGTTAGGGACGGAGGACCAGTGTCTATATCTCATTCAGGGAGGTGTTGGATGTTCGGTAAGTTGGGCGTGGCTGCAAGCCAGTTGAATTGCTCCTCAAAGTGTTCTTTCCAGCGTTCCAGTTGTCTATCCTTGGAGCGTATTATGGTGCCATTTTTCTCAGAGATTGTTTCACTTATCGTTTGCCTTTTACCACCTGTTTCCCTGATAAGCCTAAATAGTTATCTGGTGTTACCGATCGCCGATGCCTTTTCAATCTCTTTCGCTTTTGTTTGTAATAATAGACCTGATTTTTTCTATTGTACATCCCATAGCATTTCAGATTACATATTTTTAAACTCTACAGTTTGCATATTGACCCTTAAAACTTTGTATCAATAATCACAATTCATTGCTCATAATCACATCAAGTTACTCAGATGACGAAGCAAGAAGGTTATGTGAGTACCTAGATATGATTATGAGCAATAGTTTGTGCTCGAAACGTGGTCATCAGTAAACATTACTGTACAACACTGTGTGGTTTTATCAAAATAGAATTTTATCCATAATGGAATTAAACCTGTGGTGATTAAATCTTTCGTGAGCTCTATTGCTGACACCTTTAATCAAGTTTTAAAGTATTCGAAGTGTAGTCCTGTGTGTTTAAATTAATAAATTCACATTACAATTGAGATTTGTCGTTATTTTATTTAAGAAGAAGAATTATTTATCTTTCATTTGAACATAAATCAAGAATTCTCATCTTCTTTTATTAACCATATATATTGATGATTATTTAAAATGAATTAGCTTAGTGCGTTGTATTTTTATAACAGGCACATATTAACTGCTGTTTTTCTTTGAAAATCAGGAGATTTTTCATTTTCGTGGTGGCGAGCTTTACAATTTTCAGGAGTAGTATATTTCAAATGGGAAGATCTTCAGTCTGAAATACAATGCATAGTTTATTCAATACTGTACTTCGTTTAATGTCACTTACCTGTTTTATGTCACAAGCTGTTAGTACTCGAATTAAAAGGTCATTGTTCTCACCTTGTATTCTACACATTTTATCGTTTCCTGTCAATAATACTTTCGATGTGTATTGATTTGTATTTTAGGAACCAAAAACTGAAAAAAGGTTCCATGTTGAATTACACTTTAGTCCTGGTGCTTTTGCGTTGTGTCATGATCTTCCTGAAGGCAGTGGATTTCGATCTGGTAAACTGGAGGTATGTCGCATCAGATTGCGTGTTCTCTGCATTGTATAATGTTTGTTTTCCAATTATTTTCTAATTCGTATCTACTCCATTTCTCTAAATTTTAAATAGTAATGTTGATATACATTTACATGCGGGTTGCTTTTACTGCTAAGCGAATCATGGTGTGTTTGAATGTTCATTTCTCACTAAGGTTGCTAGGCCATTTAAATATTTTACAGTTGTTAAATTGAGTAATCCAAACATAATTATACATTATAAAACAAGTTATTACTTTCTGGACACTGAACCATTCTATAATCGCCAATTTACTTTTACCTCTCATGCCAGCAATATAGTCCTCGATAAGACAGAAATATAAGAATACTTGTCAGACGAATACAACTAAGGCACTGTGACAGACTACAATTCCATCCAGCAGAAAATTGATCTGGTAAATTCTCACGGTGTTATACAGTAATATTTACTGATAATGTTTCGTGCACAGTTTATTGCTCATAATCATATCAAGGTATCCACACAACTCCCCGACTTTTAATTCCATATTAGTTTGTTTATATAATTCCATTATTTCTCATCTCTCGATTCGATTGGTGGTAATATTTTCCATATCTCTAGTATATTAGCATTAGTGATGAGTCATTCCTATTACATGTGTTGGGTTTGGATTCGATGAACAAAGATTCAGTAGTCAACTTCTCTCTCTCTCTCTTTCCATCTATCTGTGTTGCTAATATCTGTGTAAAACTGTATTACTTTCTGGAACTGTGACTCTGTCCCACCTTATTGTATGGTTGTGTGAATGCATGCAATGAAATTGCTGAGTTTTTAATAATACTTTGATAAAGCTATTAGCATTAAATAGCAAAACGTTAGTAAAAACAATATCGTTTTGTTTTTCATTCATTGGGAAATACAAAAACCTTTATTATGCTGAGTTTTTTTTCTTCTAAATTACTTATCTTCCCAGGGCCAATCAATCTACATTTAGCTAAATTCTTGTGTCCTGAAAATCTGGCTATCCCTCACCTACTAGTTTGACCTATGTAGTTGACCTCACTCACAGCCATTGCAAGGTATTTTGTAAATTATATATTTTTTCTAATGGGGTCGATAGGGTCCTTTAACCTACCAAGCCTGTCCCTGAGTGAGTTTGTAGGTTTAAATGCCACCCTGGTGGCTGTCTTATTAAGAATCCTACGTAGAGTACAAAGATATGATGGAGATATGTGGATGACACTTTGTACTACTTTCCATACGTTACCAGCTATCCATAAATATATCTGCTGCGACTTGGGATTTTGGTGATACCAATGCTGCAGCTTCCGTTCGTCTAAGTGTTTCTCTCCGGAAGTAGATGTGAGGCATAATTGAATTTCTAAAATAATTTTCTCAATGAGTAGCGATGTCCTCTAAGTAAGCTCGGGATCAGACATATTACTATAAAAACTAGTAATATCAAAAGCAGTCAGTAGTAGTAGGATTCTTAATAAGACAGCCACCAGGGTGGCATTTAAACCTACAAACTCACTCAGGGACAGGCTTGGTAGGTTAAAGGACCCTATCGACCCCATTAGAAAAAATATATAATTTACAAAATACCTTGCAATGGCTGTGAGTGAGGTCAACTACATAGGTCAAACTAGTAGGTGAGGGATAGCCAGATTTTCAGGACACAAGAATTTAGCTAAATGTAGATTGATTGGCCCTGGGAAGATAAGTAATTTAGAAGAAAAAAAACTCAGCATAATAAAGGTTTTTGTATTTCCCAATGAATGAAAAACAAAACGATATTGTTTTTACTAACGTTTTGCTATTTAATGCTAATAGCTTTATCAAAGTATTATTAAAAACTCAGCAATTTCATTGCATGCATTCACACAACCATACAATAAGGTGGGACAGAGTCACAGTTCCAGAAAGTAATACAGTTTTACACAGATATTAGCAACACAGATAGATGGAAAGAGAGAGAGAGAGAAGTTGACTACTGAATCTTTGTTCATCGAATCCAAACCCAACACATGTAATAGGAATGACTCATCACTAATGCTAATATACTAGAGATATGGAAAATATTACCACCAATCGAATCGAGAGATGAGAAATAATGGAATTATATAAACAAACTAATATGGAATTAAAAGTCGGGGAGTTGTGTGGATACCTTGATATGATTATGAGCAATAAACTGTGCACGAAACATCATCAAGATAAGGTTTACCCATAATGGAATTTAACTCTACCGCAGTGTACAGGTTTTATTGTTATATCAAGAAGTTAGCTACTTTTGGTTGTACGCTATGCTGCTTGTGTTTTCAATATATCTGTCACACTTTACTATTCGAACGTTGGAAACAGTTTATCTGTCATAGTCACATCACATATTGTTTTGAATAATAAATTGTGCTGACAACTTCATCTAGTAAAGAATATCTCCTCTGTGTATTATGTGAAATGAGGAGATTAATATGAAATGAGAATGACATGGAATTCATAGAAGGCCATTAGAGAAAATCTTGAAAAGTCGGAAAAGATGAATGTCGTTATGATGTATGCAAATCTAAGGCATGACCGCATCTTCCAGCTTCACTTCAACCCAAATTGCACGTTATGGTTAGAGTTAGTTTGGCGTGCATAAGACATGTTTCAGCATGCTTGTTGGAAAACGGTTTATATCCGTATAATGGTGTTAACGCCACTGTCCCGTTACACGTGACGCTTCAAAAGCGATCGGAGTCATGTTAAACAAAAATACCATTCCCTTACTTTCAATACTTATATTTCACAAACTCAATAAAATTTCATTTGATGCTCCATCGGTATTACTTGTAGTGCAAGTTGATGGCTACTAAAATATCAGGGCTGTTACGATTTCCAACACATGCAAAATCCCGAATCACCCATTGACTCATGAAGAAAATTCTCTTGATTGATTAAGTCAACATTTAAAAGCTTCAAAATGGTATTTATTTTTAATAAATAAGTATAGCAGTGTATTTATAAGTAATAAGGGGTTGTGACATAATTGGTGTAATTACTCAGAAGTGGTTCCCGGAGATAAAAAAAGTTGTGATACAATAGAAAAATATATATGAAGTGAGAAACGAGATGGTGGAGTGGAAAAAACACCAAGTAAAATGTATAAAACGAACGTGTGAGGATGGTGATAGTGAATTACTTACTGAAAATGGAAGCAAATGAATAGGGGAGAATTTTATACCATATTAAAATAAGAGGCTCAGCGTACAGAGTTCAGTTTTATATTGATGAATCGCTAGCACCACCGCCATTCTCCAGTGCTGGAACATAATACTCCTACCATTCGACCTTAAAAGAGAACTCTGGTGGAGTTGCATGGTGTGAATTGTAGGCCCCACTAATTCAGCTGGTTATAGACTTCTATTGTCCTCCTAATAGCCATGCCGAATAATGTTCAGATATGCGTTTGGATATTACGTGCTTTGTGCAGTATAATTATTCCAACAGGAGCAAGTGAATCTAAAAACATACATTGAGGTGGCTCAAAATGACAGTTTGTCCTTGTCATATCCACTGATCATTTACCAATTGTAGAAATTGGTCGGTGACTCAGCAGAAAGTCATGCTTTTCTCAACTGTCTCAGTAAGCGGTTCCTCAGAATCTCACCCGTGGTATCACCTTTAGGTCCAGTATTCGTAAACACCAATTCCTTTGGCACTGTTTTGATTCGTTCAGGCTTCTACTTTACTTCCATTTTCAATAACGATTTGTCTGAATATTTCCAATTCATCATCGATTGTGCCACTGGTGCAAATACTTTTTATTCTTGAAGATAAGCGGTGGATTAGGTTTCTCTTTCTTCTCAAAAGGATCCAACTACTAATACTAGTGTTTTGACCATTCCATTTCGGTTTCTTGCACAATAATTTTTGAAGACAGCCGTCAGATCTCTTTTTCAAAATAAAACATCCAAAAAATGAAATTCTGACTCTGATGTTTACTAAATAGAATGGTAGCAATTACTGAACTGCTTTATTATCATTCCGAAAACTTTCTGTAGTGGGTCATAAAATGCTATTTGCAAGATATTACTTTGAAACAGTGTGCAGGTAGGGAATACAATGACGATCTCATTGCCACTTGATCTTCTTTTCCACATAGTTCGGCATTGAAATTCATCATTATTTTTATTACGTAATTTCTTCTTATCTTTGGAAACCATTTCTGCGTAATTATATCAGTCATGTTGCCACCCCATATTACTCATGAATACACTGCTATACCTATTTATTAAATATAAATACTATTTGAAAGCCTTTAAATATTGACTTAATGGATGAAGAGGATTTTCTTCCCTGAAATGTTCATTTTGTACAAACAAAATGGCCAGTGTATTCTACCTATTCCCGTCTGTAATGTGGGATAAAGCAAAGACAAATCAGCCTTTAAATCATTCGAAAGATTCGAAATTTCTCTCTAAGTAAGTAACTAATGTCATAGCAGCGTCTCATTACATGTTTATGTCAACATGGGCATTGTTGATGTCTTGCTTAGTAGTAATAAATAAATGTTATATTTAGATTTCTGTGTAATGCGTTTGGACACTGCTAAAACAATTCACTTGTGTGAATTCACTTTCATGCACCCGTCCAGTTGTGAACGAAGCGAAATGTTCATATGAGATGCGTAGATTACAATTGATTGCAACATTTACCAGGATAACATTTTCTTTTCGCTAAGTTTATATAGTGCTGAAGACACTAAGAAGCTGCTCATCACAGATAATTAGTATACTGATCACTACTACTAGAAATTGTCAAATGGCAGTTAACAGCGATCACCAGTTCTATTCTGATAAGTCAACAGGATAGATATTTATTTATTTCCGCTTCTTAGTATATACAAATGTGTGTTACCTTTTAGCCTCAGTGTAGCATCAATGTTCTAGCATGAGTGCCTTGCTTTGTAGTCTCCTATTATATCGTCTGTTTCATGAATCCATCCAAGAACATTTTATACAGTGCTTTTCAAGTACACCATACAAAGCAGTTTAGAAATTTTGGCGTTGTCTTTATAGTGAATGTGCCAAGTTTGCAGAAAACACAATATTGTCTTTTATGCGGTCTGTTGATGCTCAAGTATCTGTGGGTTCACCCAGTGTATAACACATCGACTGATTTGAATAAATTCATTATACAAAGCCTGTTTCTAACACTCAGTGAAATTGTTTCATTCCTTTTTCATCATATTCTAACATCATTATATGGAAACTGACTGGTTTTACGTGCGTACGTCTCAACTTAAATGGGGTAATTCTTACTGTCAAATCTGTGCTATAACATTTAACAATGTATTTTATTTATTTTTTTTTCATATGAATCTTTTTTTGCATGCTATCTGTGTATTGTCTTACTTATTTCCGTAATGCTTATAATTGTTTTTGTTTAATGCGCTCTTCTACAATATATGCGAACCTTTTGGTGAACGTGTTTGCTGGTTTGTGTACTGTGCACGTGGTTTCTTTTGATCGTATCTTCGTGTGTGTTTTTTTAACTACTGCTTCACTTGCTTGCTTGCTTGCGTGTGTGTGCCATGCGTTAATTATTTTCATATTTCATAATCAGCGTCTCAATTCTCAAGTTAGTGTAGTAAGTAGCGGTACATCAGTAGATAAAGGAAGCTCCGACTCAATGCCTCAGTCACTGATGCCATCTATTGGTCGTTCAGTCTCTACATGTGAACAAGACAAGCGCTTGGCCCCCGATAAGCAAAGTTCGAAACGATCAGATCAGGGTATTGAACATTGTCCCAATCCTGAGTCATTTGATTCAAGCGATTTGTCGTTTTCTGGATCTTATAACAGTGATAGGTTTTCTCGTTGTCCGTCGTGTAGGTCTAACAGTGTACAGTCGAAAGGTCTACCCCCTTTAGATACTTTACGTTGGAGTTTCGATAGCGACAGCTGTGATATATGCAAAGAGTGTTGTTGTGAATCTTCACACATCAAAAATTTAGAACAGTGTTCAGTACGACGATCAAATAGTGTTAAATTTTGTCATAACATTCTTCAAAAAGGCTCCTGCCCTGGTAAACATGATGAAACTTTGACTGTTAGTCACAGATCACAATCTCAAGGTCGTCCTTCTGTCCTGCCATTATCACCTGTGCCATCTGCTTCTACTCTAGAATACACAGGAACTCCTACAGCATCGAATCCGGAAGTAGGCGTTGGACGATTTACTGTCACACGATCAAATACTGAAGATAATAACCTGAGTCAAAATTCCCCGTGTAGATCAAAAATGGAAAAAATGCTTCCATCTTTTTACACAAGTAGATTGGGCGCATGTCATTTGAAACGTTTTCCACGTTCAGAGTTTTCCGAACATGCGATTCGTAATCGATCTTCCATTTCATGCTCCCCTGATGTTCACCGGAAAACAAAGGATTTGGACAGTGCACTCCTGTCAAAACCCAGATATTCATGTTTTACAAAATTACTAAAGACAGGAAGTAAAGCAAATGACTCAGGAGATATTAAAGAATCGGATTTCAGTAGAGAATTAGTTCTTGATTATGCCTACCTGCGTAACAACACTTCACATTTCTCACCTGTAATGCAATGGCTTTCAATGCAACCAGAACACGCAGTCAAGTTCGATGGGAATTATAATGAAAAGGATTGTGATTCAGCCTTAATCAGGGATAAAGTAAGAGTAGAGTAGTTTTTATTGATTTTTGGTTCAATTTTACCAGTTTTACTAGTACTTGTTTTGTTTTGCTCATTGTCGTTTTGCTTCATTATGCACCTTGTCATCTGGATTTTTGAGTAGTTTAGTGTAATACCACAGTCCCTAAATAGCTTCTGATTAGCATGTTAGCAGTCTTTTGGATAATTTCAATATTCTCATACTCCAGAGCAGTCTTTTTTGTAGACATTCGTGGTGTTTTGGGATGCGGCATGCAAGTCTGTCATTTTAAGAGTGATAGTGAATTGAATTCCGTAACTGTAATGATTGGATAATCTTAGCACTAAGTGAATTCAGTTACTCTGCCTATTTGTGGATTGTAAAAGACACCTTTTGATGAAGACATTGTTCACTCTTTAATAAGATAATCATAAAATCACTTTTAGAAGACCAGAAGTTTTGTGATGGAAACAGTTTTGGGCCCTTTTATTGTCAGTTACTCATCTTACACTGGTCGGTCGCTGAAATGTTTGCGATTAAGACGTTTGACAAACTTCTCAGAGATCTGTAGTTTGCTATTTAATTCAATTTTCGATTTTTCTGTCGATTCATTGGACCGAAGTGTTCGATCTCAGGTTGACATGTCGGCTTCTTGTGTAGATGCTTTGACGATGTCTGGGCATGTAATTAGAAGTTAATTGGTGGATGGTGACTAGCAGTGGAATCCAGGATGCGCATTTCGCCCTATTTGCGACTCGTCATCTGGATGTGTCTGCATCATCATTCACTGCGGAATGCAGGCACATCCACATGACGAGTCGCAAATAGGGCGAAATGCGCATCCTGGATTCCACTGCTCGTCACCATCCATCAATTAATCTGTAGTTTGCATCTAAATCTCTTACGAATATGATTTTCTGTGACTCACATTTTCAATACCACTTCATGACTTGAGTGCTTTTGATCTCTGCTAACTTCTATTTGGACTCCAGCTGTACTAATTTATAGTATAATTGTGAATGTGATCCGCTTGCCAAGAGAAACGCTTTAAATCTAACAGCTTTTTTGGTTTCTTTTATCTCATTATTTTGTGTACTTATGCTGTCCGTAAACTCAATTGTATATACTCAGTATGTGGTACTTAGTTTTTCTGTTTGTAGTTCGAGTCAAAAAACCAGCCAGTATTATCTGTATTACATTACTCATTTAAAATGGTACCTTCTTCCTGTTATCGAAGTGTTTTTTCACAGAATTGTTTTATGTCAACGTATTTTTTTAGAGATCACGAGAAACAATACCGTGTACAAATGCAGAAGCTATTAAAAGTGAGTTGAATTTCTCCATCTGATATTGGCTTTTTAAAATATTTTTCTATAAGTTCCCTTCCAGAAAAGTTGTTCTATCATGAATTTGGGATATATATATATATATATATATATATATATATATATATATACTGATTATCGTTGAGCTGCATATATAATGTACGGTAAATAAGAAATATAAAATCAGACTACACAATTGAGTGATATGCTTGTGTATTTATAATCAACAGCAATGTAAATTTCAGACGATGAATTGTACTCAGTGGCGTGGTAGGAAACATGAATACTATAAAATAAGTTAACAAATAAGTTATGTAGGCTGAATGTGAGGCATAACAAATAACAACAGCGATATTGTGTAAACACAGTAGTCACAACAGTGGACAGTAATCTAGTAATAAATACATAAAATACGCTTAGTGTGAATCTAAAGAACGATAAAAAATAATGATGCCATTACTCACTGAAGTAGCCTGGATTCTATCGCTATCCACTGCTAATCAAGCAACTACGAGTAATTAGTAGTGATAACATCGAAGCACCCATTGAAGAAACGCATATATCAAAGTAAAGTGGATCGGTCAGATATATCAATGAGAAATTGAATGCAAGGATGAATGACAGTAATACTGGTACGAAATCAACTAAGTGAAAAGGTGAACGAAGGACAGATGAGTGATTTTTAAGGTGTAAAATGACATAATGAGATATGAAAATATGCTACTATTCCCTCCAGGACCACCTTATAGCAAACCAAAGTATACAAAGAGGATAAATGCACTCTACTTAGACATACTGGTTAGGTTTGTTCTCATTGATTCGCACAGGTTCAGTTATACCTAAGAGGTGGTGTAATCGCGTACTCTTTACTCACATTATTTGGCTGTTGGTATACGACTGTGAATGTCTCTTCTACTTTTATGTGTTGTTCAGTGTGGACAAAATTAGATGAGATTGTGATATTTATTGATGTGGTTACTATTTTTTCGAAGCCGAACTGAAATATGTTTATTTGTGTGTGGAGATAAATTTCTCTGATATGATTATAAACACTAGATTTTGTTCGAAACGTCATCCAGTAAATAATACCGTTTCGCTGTGTAATACACCTAAAACACAAACTATTATGGAATTATCTGAGTATGGTTTATATAACTAGCATCACAGGAACAGTTTAGTGTATGTACACACGTTGATGAGATTATCTTTAACGTATTGTGATAATATAGGACCTGTTGTTGCGTAGCATTGAAAGTCCTTTCAACCTGTCTGCTCAAAGTACGTCTTGTTACACCACCTAATGTTTTATTGGACGTTTTAGATAAGTGGTTACCCTTCATTCTTATTATTTATATTAAATAGTGATTTGTGGTTCAAAACGAATGTTTTTTTGTGTAAAGTAATATACATCTTTAAAAAGTTAGGATTCCATAAACTCCCATACTTCTTATCTTTATCGTGAACTTTCGGTTTTTTTTTGGAGAGTCTCGTGCACGTTAAGTGCATAAATAGAAGTACCGTGTTTTCCTTATCTGCTATCAAAATGAAATGCTATTTGTTTTCTATTTTAACGAGCCTTAGTAAGTTTTATTTATTAACATTCAATTCAGATGATGAACGTAGTTCGGTTAGATTAAATCGTCATCATAGTGCTAGTTCCGTACGTTCGCTAACCAATCAAGTCACATCTCCAAAAAGGAATCTGGTGATTCCCTTGTCCACGTCTCCTACACAAACATCTTTGACTCCAATTCTTCCTGATGATCCATTATCTACAATGCTTCATCCCAGTGGATCAATTCAGTCAATAATGGAACCATCAGGAAGTCAAACAAATTCTGTTGCACAAGCAAATAGCTTACTGACATCTACCGGACCAGAAACTACAATTGATGATGCTATCATCAATCAAGCTTTGAATGCTGTTACCTATCCTAGTCGACAAAGTCCATATCACTTAGATATTGGACGTCTTATTAGAGGTAGGTTTTTTTCAGTAGAAAGCTTTTAAATAATTTTTTATTCTATTTGTTCCTGGGTGAGATATACTACGTTTGTCAAAATAGAACTTTTTGAATGTCATTCGGTGTTTGGCTATTTTGAACGATTATAGTCACGCATCACTGTGCTTTGTATTTTGTATGTTTTGTGGAAGAAAAAGACATGTATATGATTTTCTGAAACTATAAAATTGTTCGTTGTGGCCTTAAGCCAAAACAAAAACATTTTTAGATATTTAGAAATAATGATAAAAGTGGATAATGTTTTATTCTTATTACTTGTTTTCTCTAAGAATGTTTCTCTTGGATCCTAGGTTACGGAAATTTTCAACACCTTTAAATCTGGATGCCTTAGTTTGATTATCCGATTACCTCTTTGCGGTGGACCTTTCTTTTTTCCAGGAATGTTTTGTTCTATTTTGACACCAGTCGATGGTTTAAGCTGGAATAAACTGTATCTCAAATTGTGCATCACAACCTTTTAAAATGTCCTAACTGCGTTTAGGCTGTCGTTTTCATTCTTTCATTAGTCGGGGAATACAACTAAACTGAGACATGGATTCTACTAAAGTTGGCTAAAAGACGTTATCATTCCCTGTTGAATAAAAAAGACGAATTGAAAAAAACTTGATCTTTAAAAATCCTGATTTATCTAGCTCTAATTCAGCTACTAGAAAAATATTACAGTCTATATATATATATATATATATATATATATATATTTGCTACATGGCTTCTCATAATGGTCATACCATATACTATTCTGTATGTACCAGTTACATCTAAGATGAATGATTAATTTTCAAATATTCAATAGATGCCTATCTAATCACAAAAATGATACGATTTCGGATAAGAAATACGCTGTGCGAGTAGAATTGTGTAGGAGTAAGCAACTCTCATAGATTACAACATCGAAGTCTATAGTTCAGTGTATGGCATTTTTGTACTGCCGACTAATTTGTCAAAATGTATACATTTCCAATATTTTGCAATCTTTTTCGTCTATATTTCAGACACTGAACAAATATACAGGCGTTTCAGTTCTGCAGCGCGTAAATGAAATTACTCATACTTGTGTTTTCATATATATACATATATGTATATATATGTATATATCATTGTTGTATTTCCATCAAACCTGTAATACAGTTTTCCCCTTTACGTTAGCGTCATATCCATATATTGTTGCCTGTGTCCACTTGACGATTAGTGGTGCATGGTTTCTGTGTGTTTGGTATTTTTCATTGAAATTCTTCAAATCTTATCCAATTGTCCTGCTCTATTTGTGTGCTAGTTGCATAGTAGTTTTCAAATTCATTTCCTTGTTTGAAAAATATTCACAGAAAAATAAGTAGTTGAATATGTGGTGAGAGCTCGGGAATTTCTAATCTTGTGCTGTTGTACTTGACACATTTTACCCAAAAATTTCATGAGTTACTCGGCCTTATTATATTATCGTTTTAGTAGAAAAGGTAACTAGGATCTTGATAGTTTGCACTGGTTACAAAGTTCTGTGATTGCTTAACCACTGATGTCGACATTTACCCATAACTTATATTTTGGCGTTTACTCATTACCAGAATTTTCTTCAGTCATTCTATATAATATCTTATACTGCTAGTTAATTAATTCCGTTCACGTTAATTTTAGATTAGTTAGTATTCAGAGTTTTATAGTTAATTGAATTAAAAATCAAATGATATTGTCATTCCATATTATTCATCTTGTTTTGCCGTTAAGCTTATACGGGGATTAAAAATTTACAATAATAGGTCGATATTTATATCCAGCTTTTTGTGATGCTATTCTTCCTATTATTATTATTCTGTTATAATTACTTTTCAAAATTTCCTTTCCTGGTGTTTTCCATCAAAACGCTGTAAGCGAAATAGCCTGATATTATTATTTATTATTATTGTTTCCTTTAATTCCTAGAGGAGCATAGAGCTTCAGCCGTGCGTCTCCATTGCGTTCGGTTCTCTGCTAGAGTCTTCACCTGGCTCCATGTCTGCCCACACGTTTTCATCTCCTCTTCACATGACCTCCTCCAAGTCACCCTTGGACGACCAACTCGTCGCTTCCCTTTCGGGTTCCACTCAAGGGCTTGTCTAGTAATGTCACTTGATGGTTTCCTCAGAGTATGGCCAGCCAATCCATCTCCATTTCTTCCTGCCTATTTGTTTCACAATCGGTTCCTGGTTGGTTCGCTCATTGCCAGAGATCTCTGTTGCCGATCTTTTCTGGTCATCTGATCTTGAGTATTGAGCGAAGACAACTGTTAATGAAGGTCTGTAGCTTGTTTGAGGTGCTCTTTGTAACACGCCAAGTCTCTGGTCAGTGTAGTAGCACTGACTTCACATTGGAGTTGAAGATCCGGATCTTATTTTTGATGCTGAGTGCTGTTGACCTCCACACAGACTTGAGAGTATTGAAAGCTTGTCTTGACTTCCAGATCCTTGCTTTGATATCCTCATCAGTTCCGTCCGCCTGTAGTTGAAACGATGCTTCCCAGGTAGGTAAAAGAGATTGCTTCTTTCAGGTTCCTTCCATTTATGCTGATTGTTGTCTGGTGTTGTTGTTGGTGGTGGTTTTCTCTATGTTCGTTGGTTTGCAATACAGACTCATACTTTTGATACACCTTGGCAATCTTATTGAAGTGAAATAGCTATTTAATTCAGAACTGTTAACCAGTTGGCTGACTTCGGTCACCACACAGAAGTGATCAGGGGATTTTTCACGATCGTTCAATAGTAGTCAAGGTGGTTGTAGTAACACCGAATTCAGTCAGCTTTTTGGCTTAAAATGCTTAATGTTTCTTTTTCGCATACTATAGTAGGCTCATACATATATATTGATGGTAATTTGTGAGGTGGTATTATAATATTTATCCTAACTGTTTGATATTTTATGCTTCGTCATTATATATATTGGAAGTGTAGTGGTACATGTACGTATATACATTCTGGCAATATATTGAGAATGGTATCCTAGTGACTGTCTAGCTTTGTTTATCAACTTCTCTGCATTAGGTATGCACGACACTTTTTCCTATAAATGCATGTTGTTTTGCCATTTTTTGTCTTGTAAACATATACTGAGACGAAGATCATTTGTATATTGTTTACCCCTTAGCTTTTATCCTGTATTCGATTGTTTGTTGTTATCAGTATATTTTTCTCCTTATTTCAGTCATATTCACCTCGCCTAAATGGTGAACATCTTTATTATATAATGCTTTTCACTATTACATAAATGGAATGTAATCGTATTATTATGCGATGTGTGATCATTTTGTTCCTTTTGTTATTCAACTTTTTCTTTTTTACCTGAGTTGAATTAAGAACTGGTTATCTATCTAACGTGTAGGCCATTTTCTTATTAGATATTCTTTAAAATCACCCTCTGTGTTGACGAACTAGGGGAAAGCTAAGTTAGATATGATTACGATGTTCCTTAAGAGTTATATTTAAATGAAAGAATGACTGAATGAATGAAATATTTGCTTCTCAGATTGTGGTGTGATTTGGCAAAAGTTAGTGAAACCAACTGTACTGACATTGAAACTCTTCAATAACGTTATACACTTCTAAATTGTTAATACTATTTAACGGTGCGTCTTAGCTACACTTTTGTGATTGATTTATAAACCAAAACTGTTACACTCGTTCATCGATGTTTATTATATGCGTACACGAGTTTTAAAGGTTGTTGCCTTCTATTCCGTCGCTTAAGTGGATTTAAGTAATCAAAGAAATTGCAGATTAAAAATTAAGCATTGAAGCAATTCTTCTTTAACAGTATTCAGAGACACCTATAATTCACCAAATAGTCGATATAATTTTTTTATTTTACTTCTAAGTGTGATCTTTTGTATTTATAAGCATTCCTATTGGTTTTGTTTAAGCTGTTTGTTATGTAATCATTGAGCAGTTATGAGTATTTTGTTGAGCATCAGTAATCGTATGTTTGTCGCTACTCAGATGATGAAGATGAGAAGTGTTTATTTTCACGCACTTGGCTTTGACGTACATTTATTGCCTGGAGAGGTTCCTAGGGTGAAGTAATAGACGCAACATGATTTACTCTTTCCATGTAGTGACTGTATAGCTATGCTCTAGAAGTAATTCGTGCTCTAAGACTTCGATAGCCAGTTCGCTCAAGCAGTAAAATCTGTGACTGGACTTTGAATTCTTATCTTTTTACTCTGTCTAACTGACTTTACTCACCTTAGATAACCTTAGTTCATTGATTTTAGCCTAGTCTTTTTCAGTCAATTGTAACTTGTAGATTACTAAACATTTTCGATAATGACAAATAAGTGGGACATATTTTTTATTATAATCTTTTAGCTGTTGCTTTAGGTGCTCCGTTTGCTCCACCGTTATGTCGTAGTCTTATTAGTACAGCTGTTATCCGTGGTTCACGTGATGATGGCCAAGCATCCAGTAGTGTTCCTGATTTTAAACGTCTGTCAGAAGATTTGAATTTTGCACCACGAACTTTAACACGTAAGTCATTTATGTAAACAGTCTTTTATTTTGCATTTAAACTTAGTGATAATTTTTTTAATGTTTATTGCAATCCATTGTCTTCTGATATTCTGTATGCAATTAGCTTATATTGGGGTGGAAATTAATTGCTGATGTATAATTGTTATATCACAAAAATAAAGTTTTGAACAGGTTATAGAAGTGTTTACTCCTACCTAATGTCACTTTTCTCACTGCTTCGAATCACAGCAGTAACCTTGTGCAGTTTACTTATATCTTCATAATCTGTTAAAGCACGCTCAAGAACGTGATTAATTGTATGCTTTTATTTTCTAACTTTGTAAAATCGTTTGATCAACATGAATGAACGTGTTTTGTACTTTGTACTTGTCGTAAAAATAACTGAATTACTGTGTATACACTGTAAAACTAATAAAGTCTACGGTGTACGAAAACTGCCTGAACTATGTAAGTCAATGCATGTTTCCATCGTATAATTATTATTTCGTTGTATCATAGATTTAACAGTTAAGCATATTAGAAAAAAGTAGATCAGTAAATAAGTCTGCTGAAGGGAATAACACTTGCTTCTTAACTAGAGTCCAGCAAGATTGACGCTGAGTATTAGGAAGTTCAAGGTTTTAACAAAATCAGTTTGAACTCATAAGTCGCTTGACAGAAATACAAGACTTTATTTCTGGGATTATTAGTGTAGTTATCACCTGTTGTATGAGGTTATCGTTTTCAGCTCATTTGACAATTCAGTGTACTCTTAGTTGATTTTGAACAGTCTGTTTCATCGAAAACGTCTAAGTTTTTTTTCTAAACTGTCACTTAACATCCAACCTGTCATACGATATGTAAAGATGCACAAATAGTATGGTAATATGTCAGTTTGAAAATACACATTTGAATAAGTCATTCAAGAATTTCTCTACTTAAAATTAGTCATCATTTCTGAGTTAACTGGTTGCTAAAACTAGCATTTAGATTATTGGTACGACTATTTTGTAGCATTGACTGCTTCAACCGCTTCTTTTTTGAGATCTCATGCATTATTTAGTATTTGTGTTCTGTTTATAAGAAGAGCCATCATATTGCTGTTTCTCCATTCCATCAAACAATTAGTTTACAACACCACTATGACTATTTATGCGGTAATTCGTTTTAGCCTAAATTGTCTTGTTAACTCTGTCCACTACACATACAATACATGCATACCCACTGTCAATATCTTTTTCACTAAGTGCATTCCATCCTTGGTTCCTGAGATATTTAGGTGACCGGTAACTTCATAAATGACTGTGATCTGCAGCCAATGACTTCATGAACTGGTGACATATTTTTTGGGCTTCTGAGACAGGAATCTTCTTTGTGACCTAATAGTAACTCGGTCTACGTAGGTACCATGGGTAACACTATATTGGTACTTTTTACGTATGTCCCAACTATCTTATTAGGTGAAGAATTTACAGTCCAACTTGCTTTTATTCACAAACACTGCTTCAAGTTTCAACCTTGTTTACTCTTTGAGTGCACCGTAAGAAAATGAGTGCAACGAAGGACATAAAATTTTCTCACTTATTTTCATGTCGGATTAAAGAACTGAAGTAATATCGCTCAAAACTGGTCACAATCTGGCAGATAGACTCACTGTTTCTTCCAGACTCACTATCTCATCCCTGTTTATCATTTGCAGTTGTATAGCTCACTTCATTTTGTTGGTTCTTTCATTCACCCTTTTCCTCATCTGTTCTGTGGAAATAGGTTGATACTGCACTCTACATAGCGTTCTGTTTCCCCCTTCAGTCTGCATCATGATAACTGATTTGTATTGATGTTATTGGCGTAGCACATCAAACACATATAAGTGGGTGCATTTAATCTTAAAATTTACAGTGTATGTTTTACTAGAAGTCGAACTCATTCATATTTACCGAACTTTGAATGCAATCAACTGTTTTTATAGCACTCAATTCAAGGTTAAATATTTCTGCCTCGGTTTCCCCTGCAAGCCCAAAATGTTCAGAAACTTACACACTTCTTTAGCACTAAACTGCACACATTTCCGTTATTATTTATCATTACAGAGAATGAAAGTACGGATGTTTCCATTTACTCGTATTAGAAGAACACTACGCATTTTCCACTAGTACAACGCTTAATGTTTCTAAATTTGAAAAACTCAATAACTTTTCAGAAGGCAGGTGCAAGTCTGCTGAACCCCCTATGTTTCATACTTCTTTTACAGTCGTGAACTTACTTAACTTTGCGTAAGATATTTTCCAGTGTACATAACGTGCTAAAAAAATGTAAATATGTCACGCTGTCCTATGAAAGATGCTGTAAGCACTGCTAAACGTTTAGTGTTTTCACTCTTACTTGGCTATTAGTAATAGGGACTATGTTGTTATTTAAAATAATCAGTGTACTTTTGATATCTGGGTATGGTACTGCACCGGTGTTTTTATTAAATGTTAAAGTTTCCTATTTAAGTGGCATATTATGTTGAAGGCGAAAACAATGGAGCCCTGGATCACATATTAAGGCCCGAGCTGGAACACAGTGTTGATTCATCTACAAATTGAGACTAGCAACAAGTGTTCACTAACAGTGGAGATGATATTCTGTTGCATGATGTAATCTCGAACAGTATCTCTATAAATTATGTAGTAGGCTTCTTAAAAATTTAATTTAAACTTTGAAAAAGAGCTTCCTTCATTTGTCAGATCCTTAGGTCAATGTATGTTTAAAGAGTCACGTTTATTATTAAAGAGAACACTGATATTAATCTTCCCTTTTTATCTCCCAGTCTTTGTTAATGTTTTCTTTATTAGCTGGAAGTTCTAAAGATTTTCTGGTCCCTAGTGCACCGTGTGTTCCTGAAGTCTATCCACTGGAAACTCTACACAATGATTTAACACTAAGTCAACTGGAGGCATTTTTCGTTCGCTTAACCACCCATAAATTTCCAACTCCATTTACATCTCCTCAACATCCGTCTACTCCCGTCAGTTATTATCATCATCATCATCACCATTCACATCAACATCCTTCTCCAGTGAATCCTGATGCCGTTAATCGTTATCAAGATTCAAATACCAGTATTTTGAATGCATTTTCAGTCACTCTTGGGGATGATACGACAGCTCAAAGTTGTTCTAATACTGTCGATGAAATTCCACTTGAAACACAACAGAGTACATTGTTAGATGAAAATTTGGATGTCACATCAACGAAACAGTCTATTTCAGCTTTTCATCTAGTTACCTCGAACACTAAAGCATCATTATCTTTGATGGAAACGGGACATCCAGAAAAAGAGACAGAAGAAAAACCTAAGGTAATATTTTTCACAGTTCTGTTATGAATTTTTTTAACTTTAAGCGTCCATGTTCTTGTGAGTGTTACTGAAAATGTTGAAAGTTGAATGGTTGGTGTAGGAAAAACTATTTTCTACCAGTATACATCTGAAACTGATCCTTTTAAAATTTTCTGCTTAAGATTTAAAATACTTCGTATGAATTAATCTTCACATAATGTTAGTCAGTAATATGAAACACTTATAGATCACACTACATGTAATAATTGTGTGTGTGTGTGTACATTGAATCTGTCTATGATGAAAAGGGAAATCGATTTGGAATATAGTGTACTCTGTCAAAATATTTTAGAATAGTGAAGATATGGCAAAGGTTGTGGAGACAATTGAGCTTAGACTATAGGTTGAGTAATAAGATTAAACTTAAGAAAATTAGATGTTAATGGAAAAGTCATCCAGGCATTTACCAACCGGTCCCTTTCATCAAATTGAACAAAGAAAGAGCGTATTTGCAGGATGATACGAGCTCGTTTTATCTCTTCGATTCTCTTCAACTGCATACATCCTAAATGATATCAAATTTTGTAACTTATAATTTCATTTTGTTTAGGATGTGCACAGTTGAAGAGAATCTAGGAAATAAAATGGGTCCATATTATTATGCATATATGTCGATTCTTTCTTTATTCGCAATTAGTGAGATACATTACATTACAGATCAAAAAGAGTAAACCAAAGGGTAGTCAAGAGAATAATGCTAAAGAACCACGAAGAATAATAATAGTAAAAACTATGAAACAAACAAGAAGAGGAGTAAGAAGGGCAGAAAGGTGATTGTTGAAGTGTGGGAGGACATCATGGGACACGAAAATATACGACTGTTACCTCCATGACCACCTCATAGTAGACCAAAGTAGACAGAGAGGATGAATGCACTCTACTTAGACACACTGGTTAGTTCCATTATGGGTGAACTTTGTTTTGATAAAGTCTCACAGTGTTATACAGTAATGTTTACTGATGACGTTTCGAACACAATTTATTACTGCTCATAATTATATCACCTTGATATGATTATTTATTTAGCCTTTGTCGGTAACTTATCGTTAATAACAGTCGATCTTGCAATTATGTCCGAAGTAAGAATGGATGGGCAAGTTTCTCTGAGGTGTATAATTCATGTTTCTCCATATAATTTGCTGTCCATAATAATTATATGTAAGTATGGTTGTATAGCTGAGTGGATGAAATCGCCGAAAAGCATTTCTTCTCTCAACTATGTGTTCCTTATTTACACATAAATGACTTCTCATTTATAAATTGGATTAGCTCAAGAACACCAAATGCATTTGAATGATATGAGCTCAATCCGCTAACCCTTCATGATCCTGGAACCTATACGAAATGTGTTCATTGAAAAAATCTGCAAAGAGTTGTTATCGTGATTGATAAGTGACATAGATGACGATTGGTGCCAGTAATTGAACTAGAATAACATTAGCAGGATTAATATGTTTGAAAGAGAAGAAATGAGGAAAAATATTTGCTAAGAATGGTAAACACGTAGCGTAGATTAAGTAACTAGAAAATGAATGTTCAACTTCCAAAAATTTAAATGTTAAGTTGGATAACTTTTCAAAGTTTTACAATATAATGAGAGGAAGAATTTTTTTTATCCACTAGTGTAGTTTAAAGTTCACAACTCGCTTTTTGCATAAATGAGATTTTCTGAGTCATTTAATGGCCATGTTTATTAATGCCACGTAGGGAGATGTAGACTTCCTGGTTGGGGTCCTCGGGACGGTAAAAACCGATGGCTGGAAACTATCGGTGACATGGCTCAAAATCGTTCTTAGTGGCGCAGATGCATCCACTCCTTGTGACTTATGATTTCCAATTAAACTGTTTTGTTCTCCGTTATTACCATTCCTTTGTCTCACACCTCTGTTTACTGTCTATATTACGCATTTCTTCTACTTTCTTCTCTTGCTTTGTGTGCTACATGGAGTGTGGCGACTTGAACTGGCGCACATATGTGCAAAGTTCTATGTCGAAAACCGACCGACCGACCATGTTTATTAATACAGTCGACTTTTGTTCTATATTTGTGCTTCAGTCGCTACTTATGTTTATACTGAATAAATTATAGACCATTGTCACACTCACTATGTTATGCAGGTGTAGTTGACTTACTTCAATTAAAACAGTCGATATCTTTGATGAAGTTTAGGAATGTAAGCCAAACCGGTAGGACACAATACAGAAAGAGAACTCATCATAAGTCGAAAGGCTCTGACCGAAATGAATGACAATGCGAAACTCTTCGCATACGTTTGCGTCTTCAATGATTTGGTGATCGGAGGCAGCTTGTACAAATACAAGGATATACATAAGGTGATATGGATTTCGCCTGATGGACACAAAGTCGAGAAGGGGATTAGATGTCGGCTCAGACCATCATCTAGCTCAAGGAACCTTCAAGGTAAGGCTGAAGTCTTTCAGAACAACTGGGGACAGGTTACAATCCGAATTCAACATTCAAAAATTGAAGGATAAAACTACAAGGGATACCTTCAATACAGATGTCAGAGACAAGTCGGAGACACCATGTGGCATTACTGAAGAAACCTGTATGGAAGAACATTAGAACTCTCTGAAGGTAATGTTCCAGGAAACATGTACTTCCCTTTTAAGAAGAAAGAAGAGCCAAGACAAAGAATGTCTCAACAGAAACCTGGAAGCTAACAAAAGAGAGAATAGTGAAACAGAAGATGACTCAATGTGAAGATGGGCAAAAAAAAGAAGCTGATCCCAAAGCACATTGCACCTAATAAAGAAGTGAAGAAGAGTGCTAGGAAAAACGAAAGACAATTCTATGATATGGTGGAAACTAAACCAGAACAGGCCGCAAGTAAAAGGGACCTCAGAACGTCATATCAGATAACCAGGTCTCTATCCGGAAAGAGATCGACTCAGATGATGAAACCAATAAAAGACGTTCAAGGGAACCTAATTACCAAGGAAGAAAACAAATAAAACATTGGGGTGATCACTTTAAAGGACTCTGCCGTCACCTGCAAATTGCCCAGAAATACTACCATCAGCACGCAGAGACTCGCCTACCAGTGGACACCAATCGTCCAACCAAAGCAGAAGTTTCGAATGCAACCAAGCTACTGAAGGCCAGTCGGACCAAATGGAACTCCCCCCTAAAACACTGAAAACGGACCGAGAGACCGCAACCGATATGCTGACGCCATTATTTCAAAAGTTTTGGAAGAAAGACTACCTTGTCAATCCACCCAAGAAGGGCAGCTGAGGCGTCTAAAATAAGTGGCACGGAATTATGCTCTTGTCCACTCTAAGTAAAATACTAAGCGGCATCATCCTAGAGATAATAAAACATGCAGTGGATACAGAGCTCCGCCCAGAACAAGCTGGACTCAGTAAAGGCAAATCATGTGGTGATCAAATTGCAACTCTATGCATCGTCATCACAGAACAAAGCATAAAATAGCAATCAAACTTCTTTCTCAATTTCATCAACCTAGAAAAGGTCTTCGACAGCGTTGAATAAGAAGTGATTTGGAATCTGTTTCAACACAACGGAGTGCCTCAGATCGTTATCAGCCTCATTCAACAGCTATGTGACAATGCTGCAACGGAAACCTCACCGATACCTTTGAAGTGAATATGGGAGTAAGATGGAGCCGCGTATTATCACCGATGATAATTCTGACTGCGGAGGACTGAGCGGTGGAGTGAGCAGAGAGGAGTGCCCTGGATCGATAAGATGACTCTAGAAGATATTGACTTGACGGATGACTTTTGTTTAATGTCACAGAAATTTGAAAACTTGCAGGTGAAAACCAACAAGTCAGAAGAACTTGGGAACAAAGAAAGGACCTCAAATGAACACAGAGAATATGGTGGTGATGAAAATAAACAACCAGCAATATCAGGTACCAATCACTATTAATGGGAGAAATTTGAAGGAAGTTACCTGTTTCACATACCTAGGCAGCTTCGCCTCGACTACAGGTGGCTGCTCAGATAAGTCTGCCAGAGACAGAATTGTAAAGTTAAGGTACACCTCCATCACTCTGAGATCAGTTTCGAGGTCTTGTGCACTCAGCATAAAGAACAAAATTCACATTTTCAGCACCAGTGTTAAGTCAGTGTCTCTATTTGGGTCAGAAACCTGTCTCTGGCGTCATGAAAACTATTTCCAACGGGTTCATCTGCTCCGTGCTGAAAAACCAGATGGCCAGTCGGAAAGAATTAGCAACGAGAAACTCTGGCAACAAACCACCCAAGAACCTATTGCTCAAAAAATACGTGGAAGAACATGGGGATGAATTAGGCACACTCTGAGGAGGCCGTAGAGTGACATCACTCGAGTGGAAGGTGAATAGGAATAGTCGGTTACGTGTCCGAGGGTGACAAGAAGAAGATCGTATGGGAAGGAGATGAAAGCGTATGGGCAACCATGGAGCTAACCAAAAAAAGGACCGTAGGGAACAGGACAGAATGGAGACGTGCTGTTGAAGCCTTGTGTTCCACTTGGAAAGCAAGGGAATAATAATATAATAACCGTGACCAGACATTACTGCATATTCAGATTAAGCTCATTTGGATTTTCTGTGTGACTTAATAACTACTTAGGAACGAATAACACATTAATTAATAAACTATGAAGGATACATTCACTTTTCCTGGTTAATAGATCTCCTTGAAAACCTTAGTCTATGACAACAAAGAGAAACTATCCCTTGAAAATACATCTTCCATAGTGGAGAACCTATCTTTATTAAAGTATTATTTGAAGAGTGGTCAAATCATGAGGTTGGCAGCCCAAAGGTTTCGGTCAACTGTCAAGCATACATTTTACGTCGCATCCCTTTTCCTTACCTTTAGACCAGTCTCATTTCCTGTGCCTAACAATTAAAGGAGGAAATTCTACGGATTCTGCTCCGCGCTGTATCTAAAAGTTTCCCTGCATTTGCTGGGACACACAAGAATAGAATCAATAAAACATTTTAATGTCATCAGGAAGAACATGTTCCTTAGTAGTTATTAAGCTGCACAGAAAATCCAAATGCACCTAATCTGAATAGAAAACCCGCATCATCTATCTCAAGATATGTATTAATGTTTCTCAATTATCGCGCATAACTTTAGTTCAAGGTTATTAAAGATAGTAGAGGCACTATAGATTGATTACATACGTGCCAAATTGTGTACACGTAAAAAAACAGACTTCGACCTTTGCTTATTCTGTGTTACTTGACCTAATAAAATACAATTGGCTATTAATATGCATTTTTATTACATTTAACTGATTGATTGTCAAACATTTTATTAGTTTAATGAGATTGTAGAACAACTACGAAGCAATGTCGTCTAACACATTATGTTATTTAGTTTGAATAAAAATGCTATCTGTCTCCACAATGTCACTACCGGTAACATTCAGTTTGGTAACCAGTGTAGTATTCAAAAATAGATGTCTTTCAAGAGAAGAAATCACTAACTTACCTCTGAATATGATATTATTAAGGGGATAGAGTGTATGTATTTCGTAATATGTGTTTGCTTGTGTATGTAAACATTTTTAGAGGTGAATCTTAGGTGTCAGTTCTGTAATTGGATATGGAAAAGAATTCATTAAAACTATGCTTACTATAACTAAGACAGTACTATAATGCGTTTGACTGATTTCAATCTGTGTATTTTCGTTTTTATTTAGTGGATTATTTTAACAAATATTCACATATTTGTTTGTTTGTTTTGTTTTTTTTCCTTTTAGCCTAATCTTTCATCTATAGATAATTAAAGATTTACTCTCCGCTATGACTTCTTCCACATGTACATGAATTCAACTGAATTTTGGATCTACAATACCTTTTTTTAAACATGTTGTGTACTTCTTATGAATATTACTTGATTTACTGAAACACTAATTACCTGAGATCTCACATATTTTCTAACTTATTTCTAATTTGTTTTTTTGTACACAGCTATTTTTTTCTGATTTATTGTATGATGACTGTAATTTGTTAGTGTATAGTTCTCAATAAAATAGCACTCAGTACTTCGATGAAGTGGCTGGTTTGTAAAATCCCTGACTGTATTCAATTTAAATACAGAACCGTTGGGGACTGATTTTCGTTGAGTGAAGTGTATATGTGTTGATGCGCATAACGAATCTTTGTGTCACTTTGGTTTTATATTATCACGTATATTAAAAGGGTAATTAACTTGGGAGTGTTTCGTTCAGATGACTCGAAAGGGAATTCTTTCATCATAGGAAGTTGAGAATTTTAGTTTCGCTTCACAGAACGCTTATTTTACGTGCCACTATTGATCCTATATTCGTTGTAGCCTTTTTTTTCTGTCCAAAATTATGCCAGAATTATACGTATCAGATCAAAGCCTTAAAGAAAAGATGGAGACTGAATATCACTGAAATTCCTGCGTTCACATTAAATAAGTAACAAGAAGGAAGAAAAACAGGATGTTAGCATCTATGATACGGAAAGCCATAAGATGAAAATAGAAAGCAAGTGAGGAAACGTTTTGCTAGGAATATAAACAAATGATGAAGTATGGATGCATTTGTACTTCTGTTTGGCTGTATAATTCTATTTCTAAAGCTCCCGGTGAAACGACGACAGACACCTTGTATGATCAAGAGTACCAGTATTCTGTCTTGGTTTGGCTTACCCAGTTATGGCTGGTAAGCATGTGTGACGCATCTCAAGCTATGAAGATCTTATCTTAGAGTTCACTCTTAACCTGTACACGGCATTCTCTGAAATTATTGGTGCCTAAATGCTTGAGACTGTTACTCTTATCAACGTCCATAGTGATCAATTTTCCCAGTACAACATTTTGTGCAGTAAACTCTGCAATTATAATAGATAGTATACATCGGGAGGTTCACTTGAGCAAATGCCAAATGAATCTTTTGTATCTGTGTCAGAATGTCGTTTAATGTCAGACTGTTATCCTTCCTGTTGCTTCCCAGGAGACTGGAACTATTAATAAACTGAGAAGAACGGCTTTTATTTCAAAACAGTTACATGTAAGTGATTAATACATTCGATCATCACAAAGTGTCCAGATGATTTTTACCATCTTGTTGTTTCAACCCAACGGGACTATGTGTTCCGTAGATTCTAAGTTAATTAACGTCAGACATGATCGTGCAAACTATCATAAGCATGTTTGTTATGAAGTCGAGTAAAAATCGAATGAGTGAGTATTTTAGGTAGGCGACACTCCAAGTAGATATTTCAGTGTATATCTAACTTAACTACATCTAGATCCTGTGGTAATTAGGTTTACTTGATATATGTCGTTTTCACTGAAATTCAATGTCATAAAACTCCATACATTGCCACAAATATATGAGCCAAACGAAACGTCATGCAACATATCTATCCTTTTACATATGCGAATTTCCTTCTAGTCAGAAATAGTGTGACTTAATACATGTGAAATATTTCTCTGATTGCATTTAGGTGTTCCGACAGCACAAGCTTCAAAATGTGGTGCGAGCTTTTCGAATAAGTAATGCTACAAGTACAACCGTCTAATTCATTCGCCATTGTTAACATAGTGGTTGTTGCAGATTACTCATGCGCTTTCAAACTGTACATTAAAGAAAATGCCAATCTCAGAAAATGTTGGAATTTTAGATTAACAGGTGTTTTTTATTCCTTTACGTTCCCAGTGGAACATTGGGCTTCGAGTTAAAGGCTCTGAGTTTCGGTAGCAGTGGAGTTTATTTTTGCGGGATGGAGTTGCTAGCCTCGTGCTCAACCTTCCCTCTTTACCAATCTTATCGAGATAAAGGAGTGTGTCGGCTAGGGATCGAACCACATGCGTAATCGGCGAGCATTACACCGCTGTGCCACCGACGCATATGTTAACAGGTTGAAGCAGACTTTTGTTTTCTACCAGTGATTTCAGCATAAAGTCATCTTCATTCGATTTGGAAATTGTATTATCATATGCATAAAAGTTATGTATTTTTATTTAATTATTATCTTCCTGCTGTCATTCCCTAGCCTTCTTGTCTTTTCAGCGGTTCTGAGTAGAACAGCTATATTTGAATGTTCCACTTTCCTCTGCATTCCTTTTTGTTGCTTAAGTCACTATCAACCAGATGTCTTCGCTAAAAAAATCTTAACAGCTAATAGTGAACTGATAATAATAATAACTTCAGTTTGATTGTATCCTAGTAAAACTATTCTTAACAGCATTACATTCATCATGTCAACCAGTGTTCCTGACTACTCATCGTTGATCTGTTTTCTCTTACCTACAAGGAATGGACTTTTCAGCTCATATAAAGCCTATCTGTGCATCCAGTTCGTCTCAAATACAAACTATGAAATGACAATTCAATTCAACCTACGCTCTAACAACTAACCAAGCACAGTTCATTGTGGAACTTACATTTAACCACTCAATTAACTGTCAAGCTGTATCTCTTATCCTCATATATAAAGTAAACTTCTTTGATCTTACTAATGCTCATACTTTTATTTTACTCGGTTGATTGTCACTATTCGAAATTCTAGTCTACCTGTGCAGTTATATATAAGCTGCCAATTAGCCACTTTCGAAAATCTGTCGTGCAGTGTGATGCCTAACGGAACTTTCGTGTCACGAAGTGTTCTGTTTAAGGTTATTGCAGAAGTTGTTAGCACCTGTGTGTCAAGTAGATTTGGTCAGGAACTTGGAAAACCCTTCTATTGATTTTTATTTTATCAAAGATAGACAGAAGTGAATAGCTTTGGATAACTTCTTCATATTACAGCTGGAAAATACTTTTCTTATACTCTTTTCCGTTTTTCTTTGACGGTCACCATCCATCCTAGTAGGTCTCAAACAATGATAAGAAATGTCCGTGAATCTATTGGATTCCAGGGAACAATCGCTTTTTTTAGTCTGAAAGATTTAAAGGGGAAAAGAATTTTGGTGAAGCAACAAAGACCTAGTTTACAGGGATTTTTGGAGAAGGTAGAAGTCTAACTAATCCAAGCTGTGCCGTAAACTGAAATAGGAAGCATTCTATCTGGAATATCTCTGTCGACTTTCTAGGTACTCTGCAACGTAACATCACCACCTAACGCAGTGACTTGATTGTTTTCATAAGATGAGGCTTTGTGTAAGGAAAACCGTATCTAAGAATGAGAATAAGATAAACAGGTAGAATCGTATTGCATAACTCCATAAAAATAAAAATAAGTATTCACTGTTTAAGCCTTACACTATGATTAGCATTGTAGCATCCTACATATATCAATCAAATCTTAACTGTAATTTATCACATTGCAGTCAGCTACCAGCCTCGTTGATGCTACATTCAAGACTAGCTACTGACCTTTGAGAAGGTATAGGTGAGCATCGAGACATTTACTCAAACCTATGAAGATGGTAAGTAAAACTGCTTCCAGGTTAGAAGAATGTGGTTAACTGTGGAAATAAAAACCATCATTTGAAGCATGTCAGCAAAATAATTCCTTGTCATAATCAACACTGTCATATACGATTATAACAATCTACGTTTCAAGAAATAAGTCTGTCCTGAATGAAGTACATGGAGTTGGATGATACTCAAATTCAGCGATGGAGTTAGTGAATGTAGTGACTCTTACTTTCTACTGAAAAACTGCTACAGGTATATTTCTATTTACTCGGGATTTTCACCAGTAACTGTGGAATCACAAAATTAATAATAATAATAAAGAATAATAGAAGCATGGAGGATTTCATCATGAGCTGACATCAATTAGAGAACCACTGGAAAACCTGGGAGTACTGGACAGCTGTTTCGTTCCAGTTTGGGACTCTTCATCAGTACACACCCACCGGGATTCGAACCCAGGACCTTCTGGTTACAAGGCGAGCTCGTAGACCATTGAGCCACTGGGACCATATCCAATGGTCCTTGAATTCTAACTTCTGCCAGTGGTTCTCTAACTGACGTCAGCTCATGATGACATCATCACACATTCAATAATACTAACATAAATCATACTAGTTTGACATTTCCATTAAAAGCAAAGTAAGTCCCAATTTGATTCTGAAGAGACAATTAGTAGCTCTCACTTTCCCGTGTATACCTGCTTCCTCGTTCACTATACAGTCTCTATAGAGCTATATATATAAAGTATATATATATATATATAGTGTAGTTGTCCCCTCTTTCTGTAATGAAGTCATATCATCATATACGGCTGTGGCAAAAGAGAATTGACAGTTATAGAAAGGAATGTCACACAATAATTTATTTAGTCTGGATTACTGCACTTCTCTAATGAAGGACACGAACCACTGGAATTAATTTTCGCACTATATACATATGTATATATATACTTATGATATTAGTTTTCATTCTCTATGAATTTTATCACGTGAAGAATGAGAAAAATTTTGAAAGAATGTGACCTTTTTTTGTGTACAGTAAGCATATTTGGATTTTGGATAAATACAAAAAGAGTTAAATATAACAAAATATTTTTACTATATTTTTATATGAACTGTGATCAAGATTTCGCCGAATAGTTCCACAATAATCGGACCGGTTTGCCGAACAAGATGTTGGAATTATTTATTTTACGAATATATTTTTTGCGGATATTTTTGTTATAATTAGCGATTTCGTACATAACAAACGATTTTAATTGGTTCAACCAATTTAGCGATATTTTGAATGAATAATTGGTCACGATCACATTTACCGCTAGCATTTTGATAAGAATGAAATCAAACAAGTTCCTACTAACTCTATTTCTACGTATAATTGTGAATGAATATCACGTGTTGGCATCAAATAGTTGGTTAGTCGACTTGATATGAACAGTATATTTCAGAGTGTCATGTGAATTAGTATCATAACTGCGATAAGGGACAAATTTTCAAAACTAGTTTGAGGGATCTTACGCTTTGAAGTAAAGTAGTTGACATAATTAATTAAAGAGCAAATTGTGCACATAGATTTCATT